ATTTTTCTTAAAATTATAATTTTTTTTTCACTAAAAATAATACCATGTAATATAAGAATGGCCTAGGAGGTATTTTAAGGTCCTTTGTGCCTCTTTAGTAGTCCTTTGTGGCGCCTTAGCAGTCCTTAGCAGTCCTTAGCGGTCCTTAGCGGTCCTTAGCAGTCCTTAGCAGTGTTTAGTAGGACCCGCTTACGATACTCTTTACTTGTGGAGTTACTTTGAAGATTTTATTTTTTTAGAAAATGTAGCTCGAAGAAGTCAATAAATACCTGATTTAATGCGCAGATATTAGTTATTTAACATAACTAAAATAAAGTATCGAATGCCATTGAAATAATTCTTCATTCCGATGAAAATAAGGCCCACAACGGCATGAAAAAGTTGAAACGAAATATTCTTTTCCACAGCTGTTCTTTTATTTGTTGACAAATACATTTGAGGTCAGAGGTAAATATAGAATTTCTTCTTGTAATTGTAAACGTCATTTACTATGACGAAATGAATGGCAGGTATTTAAATATTTAGTTCTTTTTTAAAAATAGATTCATCAGTGAGTTATTTAGTATCTATTTTCAATTTTTGACAAACTTACTTCATTTGCTTCAGACTAACATGTTAAACTTAAAATTTTGACACATCCCATTTTCTTGGATTGTCAGGGTTTCTCTTATTGACCTTTTAGAAAACCTAGCTAAATACTGTTTTTCGATACATTCCGGATTTAGTTCTGGGGAATTACACCCAATGAAGTACATAACACGGTAATGTAACGATTTGTCACATAACGATTCGCCACAGTTAAATAACGATTCGCCACATGTTGAAAATACAAACTTTTTCACTCCTATATTAAAACTGTCTATGAAACCTTCTTTCCATTTTATATTTCATTTGTTATTTACATAAATTAATGATGAAAATAATTCTAAAAACAGCTTTTATTGAATAAAAACTCATTAAAACAAACATATGTCATTATCAAAATTACATAACAGTGATTTGTTAGTGATAAAACCTGGAATAAAAACACATTAAAACAAACATACTTAATTTCTAAAATTACAAAACACATTGTAAATTAGTTAACATTTGTTTATAATATACGAGGGTTGTCCCAAAAGTCCGTGACAAATTTTATAGCTGGTTCATTTTTTAACGCCAATAGAAAATAATTCACACATGTAATCGTTGAGTTAATTATTTAACATTACAACTAATCATTTACAAAAAATTTACCCTAGTTACTTTGAAATTTTCAGTATTAATGACATTGGTTTGAGTTGCCGACACACGTCAAATAATTTACATTTTGTTATGAATGGGCTGAAATGAATTACGTATATTTCAAATATCTGATGATGTGTCTGCACAATGTCACGTTGACTTCCTCTGCTGCTATGTTTAAATCATTTCTGAAAATTTTAGTTAAATAACTTATAAAACGAAAAAGATACAAATAAATGAAAATATCTCATATAAAATAGGAAAGTTAAAATGGCGATGTTTGAAGAATTTGCGGCGCAGTGAACATGTCACTCAGGTCTCATGACTTTTTCTAGATGACACATGTAACGATTTTCAACAAATATACCAAATATAACAGTTTAGCAACATATTCTGAGCATTTGTGTACAAAAGGCATGAACGGAACCAGAGTTTTGCGCTACAAAAAGCGAAAATAAGGAAAACACGGATAGACAGACCGATCTTCGTCGCCTACTAGTATTTCCTACAGCTAAAAACAGGAGTAACGAGACCGGAAGTTCGTGTATAGCAAAAATCAATGTATGCCATCCAAACATTCAACAGACATTAACAACCGCATGATTTAAGTCAGAAATTGACGATTTATGGGTACCATTATTGCGTTGAAAGCCATTGAGAGTATTTGAGAAAGGCGCCTTATATAGATTTAACGCCGTCTTTGACGTTGGACGTGCGCCGCGATTCAGTTAGTTGCCATGGTGTTTATGGCATATTTTTGTTGATATTTATCTATGAAAATTTGTAAAAATGTTTTAATTATATGGGTTTATAACATATTAAAATATCTAATTCGTACCTGTTTTATTTAGCTTTTAAACAATCTTGTCACAGAATATTGGGACAACCCTCGTATAACCTGGAAAATTATACTAAATACAGCTTTTATTGAATAAAAAAACACATGAAAACGAGCATATTTTATTAACAAAATTACAAACACATCAAAAATTAGTAAACATTTGTTAATAATATAACCTGGAAAATTATACTTAATACAGCTTTTATTGAATAAAAACACATGAAAACGAATATATTTTTTAATTTATTACCAAAATTACAAAACTCATTGTTAAAAAGACAAAATGACATAAACTAGTAGACTTGTCCTGTTTAAGCTGTGTATGCTGGTGTATTAAAATCTTCTAAATTGGCTCAAATTAAATTGTAGAGATATTGTCAGAAAATAAAATTAATATGTCTGCGTCAATTAAATATTCCTACAACAATCCTAAAATGATTGGCTTGTTACAAATAAAGGTGTGACAAATGTTTTATGCGTTCCTTAATCAATAATCGATTATTAATTTTCGTAATGAACATGTTTATTTTGCAATACCAATTTTTTTAAAATATTTGACATAAAAATATTAATTGAGGCTATCCTTAAAAAAATGTTTGTTTGCAGTAACCCGACCCAGAATTTTCAAGGTGGGTAGGTAGGTTGATTTTTTTTTTTTTTTATTGAACTGTACTCCCAAAAATACATGGAATTTCAAAATGCTGAACAATATATGCTTTGATAATCTGGTAACAATTAATAAATTGATAACTGAATTCTAATTTAATAAGACCTACATTTTATTTCTTCTATTAACCTTTAAAAGAACGAAAACAAAGCACAAGGCATAATTTTCTGATTCAAAAAAAAAAAATTTTTTATCCAGACCATGAAAAAAAATTTTGAGTAGGGGCAAATTTTGTGAGTCGGTCGCGTTACTGCAAACAAACATTTTTTTAAGGATGGCCTGACATATATCACTGTGCATATCCAGTAACACAAGCAAATGCAAGTAACGTAAAAGTACCGCCGCATCTGTGCAACTCTTTTCCCCAAACTAATAACACCCGAATATTAGATTCTAAATCAAATTTAAAGAAATGAATTAGCGTATACGGCTGCTACGACATTATAGATTAACCAACATTACATTTATTTTCAGGAATATGTTTACTTCTTTTAATCATTCGCGAGGAAGACAGCCTGATTGCCGTTTTGAAGGTGACTTTTGTGTTTTCGTCAAATAAATATGTACATTTAAAGATTTAAAACATGTTTTCATATTCAATCTGTATACAGGTCTAAGACATTTGTCAAACTACAAGTGTCGTATAACAATAGAAGGAAGCTGGTAAAATAAAATTTAGCTACTTTTAATGAGATAACCCCCATTGCTTCAGTGCTTCAACCACGAATTCGGCATAACCTTGTAAAAATGGCATCAATTACGTCTTATCTGCTAAATTAAGTGTAATATGCAGGGATCATGCTAGACCTAAAATTTAGGGAGAAGTGACTTCTCCCTCGAGTAAAAATAGGGAGAAGTTTTTAGGGACAAGGAGAAGTGCATACGAACTGCATTTTTTTTTTAAGTGTTGATGTTCCATTTCATACTAAGTTTTAAGATTGATTAACATTATGTGGAGTACATAACAGTTTATTAAGTAACTCATAACAATAAACAGCAAAATTACAAATGTGGCAGTTTTTTTTCTTCTATATCATCTTTATCATAGGTTTTGTGTAGCTTGTTTTGATTTTAATGCTGCAGCCATGTGATGTTGTGCTGAAATAAAAAAAAAAAAATTTTAGTAAATCGGTAGTAGGCCCCTAGGCCCTATACATGTATTTCATCATATCATATGATAGGAATATATAATTATATATTGGAAAATGTCTCAGGTGCCCAAATATAAAAAAACATAATTAAAAGATTGAATTGTTAACAAAATACTTCAAATTGAAAATCTGCGCTGGGGGGCCATAACTTCATATAACTGTACTTATATTAAGAAATGTTCTTATTGTCCTTGTCGAATTATTTAAAAAAAAAATGTTGATATAATTGAACTAGGACTAGTCTAAGGAAGAAAATTATTGTTATAATCATACTGTGGCGAATCGTTATTTGACCGAGGCAAATCGTTATGTAGCGAATTGCTATTGTGGCAAATCGTTACTAATTCCATAACACTATTATGTGATATTTCCATTTTTATGCCCCCACAATGTGGGAGCATATAGCGTTGCACTTGTCCGTCCGTCCGTCAGTCCGTCCGTCCGTACGTCCCGAAATCTTGTGAACGCAACTTCTCTTAAACCGGATGGCAGATTTTGCTTAAACTTACAGGGATGAACAACCTTAATGTGTAGATGGTAGTAAAGGAAGGAATTTTCGCTGCGACCAAATTTAACAGAATTATGGCCCTTTGTTGATTTTTTCACTATATACTATGTAGAAATTTTGTGAACGCAACTCCTCTTAAACCGGATGGCAGATTTTGCTTAAACTTACAGGGATGAACAACCTTAATGTGTAGATGGTAGTAAAGGAAGGAATTTTTGCTGCGACCAAATTTAACAGAATTATGGCCCTTTGTTGATTTTTTCACTATATACTATGTAGAAATTTTGTGAACGCAACTCCGCTTAAACCGGATGGCAGATTTTGCTTAAACTTACAGGGATGAACAACCTTAAGGTGTAGATGATAGTAAAGGAAGGAATTTTCGCTGCGACCAAACTTTACGGAATTATGGCCCTTTGTTGATTTTTTCACTATATACTATGTAGAAATTTTGTGAACGCAACTCCTCTTAAACCGGATGGCAGATTTTGCTTAAACTTCCAGGGATGAACAACCTTAATGTGTAGATGGCAGTAAAGGAAGGAATTTTTGCTGCGACCAAATTTAACAGAATTATGGCCCTTTGTTGATTTTTCACTATATACTATGTAGAAATTTTGTGAACGTAACTCCGCTTAAACCGGATGGCAGATTTTGCTTAAACTTACAGGGATGAACAACCTTAAGGTGTAGATGGTAGTAAAGGAAGGAATTTTTGCTGCGACCAAATTTTACGGAATTATGGCCCTTTGTTGATTTTTTCACTATATACTATGTAGAAATTTTGTGAACGCAACTCCTCTTAAACCGGATGGCAGATTTTGCTTAAACTTCCAGGGATGAACAACCTTAATGTGTAGATGGCAGTAAAGGAAGGAATTTTTGCTGCAACCAAATTTAACAGAATTATGGCCCTTTGTTGATTTTTTCATTATATACTATGTAGAAATTTTGTGAACGCAATTCCTCTTAAACCAGATGGCAGATTTTGCTTAAACTTCCAGGGATTAACAACCTTAATGTGTAGATGGTAGTAAAGGAAGGAATTTTTGTTGCGACCAAATTTAACAGAATTATGGCCCTTTGTTGATTTTTAGTTTTCAACTTGTGGCACATGTAGTCCAAACAATATTTGACCTAGAGTCATAAGATTGACAGAACAGTGGCGTGTGGGGGCATCCGTGTCCTATGGACACATTTCTAGTTCTATCATTATTGTATCGTTTATGGTGGAAAGTCTTGATGTGTTTGAAAATTATTTATATTCCTGTACTATCTAGCACAAATTTTCCCAAAAAAGTTATTTATAGTAAAAATATGTATAATTAAAACAGTCGTTGTTGCATCTGCCATAATAGATAGAGATATTTTCTGCAGAAACTTATGTATTTTCTTTATTTTTTGTATTGAATTATTCATACAGTGATATTTAATTATTTTCTTACAAAGAAATAGTTGTTTTATTACACTTTAATCCTAAAAAATACCGTTAACATAAATATCGTTACCACAAGACCTTTAGATGAATTCCCCAGAGCTGTGTACAGAAAGTACCGGAAAATGGCGTTTAGCTAGGTTTTGGAATTTGTGAATTGTTGGGCATGCATGCTTAAAACAGATGTAATCTTCATATTTTAGTACAAGAGACATCAAATGCTGGCAAACAGGGACAGTAACTCTTAGTTTGTGCACTGACTGAGTAGCAGATACAGGAATCATGTTGTACATTTTTCATGTTGATACTGGTACCATGATGACCTTTGACATGAACCTTGCAATGGAAAAGTATGTTTAACATTTTTTTTGTGATTGCTGTGAGGTCATATATCTTGTGTTTAATAGATACATCATTTAGAATATGTAGCACATTCACATGCATTGAAACACTTGTATGCATAATATTATTACACATGAAAGCAAAAAAATTTACTTATAATCTGATTATATAGGACAAATTTTGGTTATTGAATTGAGTTTTCATTGTATCCTCTGACGTCTGTTAATCTGTACCTAGGCTATTGCAGAACCTTTTTCTTCTTGTATCTGCAGACTGCTTAATTGTTATTTGTTTAAAAGTTCAAAGTTTGGCAACACAAAAGTTAAAGTGATTTGAAATGAGAACTGTACCTGCCAAACTGAAAGGAATATCAAATTTTGTTTAATGTTCATGTTCCTATTGATGTAGACAACTTTTAGCTATTTACAAAAAGATTGATGATTAAGTGTTGTCCTATCGAAAAAAATGTGTAATGCAAATAAATATTAATGGTTGTTATAGGGTCATTAATTTGCAAGGAGTAATAGCAAGGGGTTGTCGGATATCAGAGGATAAACAGGTGCTTCTTATAAGTGGTGGAGAAAGTCTGGACCCTAATGCTGTTGTTGGAAAATACCATGCAGGAACGGTAACTAGCTCTTATATTCACATTAATATTTTATTTATTATTATTTTATTTATTAATGAAAGATAAAATCTAATCATCCAGGTTAAAAACATTACAGACAGAAATTCAAACATAGAATAATGAATTTAGAACATCAATAATTTATCAAGAGACTTGAGCAAATAAATGAGAAATTATTAGAAAGTACTTTTCATTAAAGCGTATAAAGCATTCTAGTTGACGTCTGTGGATTGTAAATTTATTGTTTATATTGTGATTATAATGATTAATAGAATATCTAAAATGAAAAAAAAATGTCTTTATACTTTATTAGAAGTAAGTGGGGCATGTGTGAAATCATTGTCAAACCTACTCAAATAGCTATATCTTGTTCAGGAACATTTTATTTTGTTTACATAGCCATTTTTTGTGATAAATTTTTCAAGGAATAAACATAAGTTTACAAAACAACCTAATTCTACTGTTTTTTTATTTAATTTTTATAAAATATATCATCAGATAAAGCTTTATACACTTAAATCTTTAATGGTAAAAATGGTGTTATTTTTGAACTTTACATGTATTTACTTGACATGTTGGTCTGTTATTTTAAAATATTGTTTATCTTATGACTGCTTCAAAGGGCATCAGTGCTTTCATTTTGTTATCAAAATAACAAATATGTTTGAGCCGCGTCACGACAAAACCAACATAGTGGGTTTGCCACCAGCATGGATCCAGACAAGCCTGCGCGTCCGCGCAGTCTGATCAGGATCCATGCTGTTCGCTATCAGTTTCTCTACTTGTAATAGAGTTGGTAAGCGAACAGCATGGATCCTGATCAGACTGTGCGGATGTGCAGGCTGGTCTGGATCCATGCTGGTCGCAAACTCACTATGTTGGTTTTGTCGTGACACGGCTCATTTACCTTTTGACTTAATCTGTATCATTATACCCCCGCACAACAAAGTTGTAAGGGGGGTATACTGGAATCAGCTTGTCCGTCCAGCTCTCCGGACGTCCGTCTGTTGGTTTTTTCTTGTCCGACCAATAACTTAAGATTCCTTTGACCCACAGTCTTCATATTTAGCATGGAGATTAGTCATGATTAGTAGATGACCTGTATTGATTTTGAGGTCACCAGGTCAAAGGTCAAGGTCACAGGAACCTTGACTTCAAAAAGCTTGTCCGCCCAATAACTTAAGATGCCTTTGACCTACAGTCTTCATTTTTGGCATGGAGGTTAGTCATGATTAGTAGATGACCCCTATTGATTTTGAGGTCACCAGGTCAAAGGTCGAGGTCACAGGGGCCTTGACTTCAAAAAGCTTGTCCGCCCAATAACTTAAGATGCCTTTGACCTACAGTCTTCATATTTGGCATGGAGGTTAGTCATGATTAGTAGATGACCCCTATTGATTTTGAGGTCACCAGGTCAAAGGTCAAGGTCACAGGGGCCTTGACTTCAAAAAGCTTGTCCGCCCAATAACTTAAGATTGCTTTGACCCATAGTCTTCAAATTTGACATTGAGGTTAGTCATGATTAATAGGTGACCCCTTTTGACTTTGAGGTCAAAGGTCAAGGTCACATGGGCTTTGACTTTCAAAAGCTTGTCCGCCCAATAACTTAAGATTCCTTTGACCCACAGTCTTCATATTTGGTATGGAGGTTAGTCATGATTAGTAGATGACCCCTATTGACTTTGAGGTCACCAGGTCAAAGGTCAAGGTCACAGGGGCCTTGACTTCAAAAAGCTTGTCCGCCCAATAACTTAAGATGCCTTTGACCTACAGTCTTCATATTTGGCATGGAGGTTAGTCATGATTAGTAGATGACCCCTATTGATTTTGAGGTCACCAGGTCAAAGGTCAAGGTCACAGGGGCCTTGACTTCAAAAAGCTTGTCCGCCCAATAACTTTAGATTCCTTTGACCCACAGTCTTCATATTTGGCATGGAGGTTAGTCATGATTAGTAGATGACCCCTATTGACTTTGAGGTCACCAGGTCAAAGGTCAAGGTCACAGGGGCCTTGACTATAAAAAGCTTGTCTGCCCATTAACTTAAGATTCCTTTGACCCACAGTCTTCATATTTGGCATGGAGGTTAGTCATGATTAGTAGATGACCCCTTTTGATTTTGAGGTCACTGGATCAAAGGTCAAGGTCACAGGGACTTTGACTTCAAAAAGTTTGTCTGCCCAATAACTTAAGATTCCTTTGACCCACAGTCTTCATATTTGGCATGGAGGTTAGTCATGATTAATAGGTGACCCCTATTGATTTTTAGGTCACTGGGTCAAAGGTCAAGGTCACAGGAGCCTTGACTAAAAAAGTTTGTCCACCCATTAACTTAAGAAACCTTTGACCCACAGTCTTCGTATTTGGCATAGATGTTGATCATGACCATAAGGTGACCCCTATTGATTTTGAGGTCACTGGGTCAAAGGTCAAGGTCACAGGGACCTTGACAAAAAAAAGCTTTTCCCCTCAATTGCTTAAGAATGCCTGTCTGCAGTGTATTGTTTTTGACATTTTCACATTTGAAGCATGTAGAATACATAACTTAGCAATGCACTGGCTTAGTAACCTCAGATTTGACAGGGAGGTTGTCCTTGAGCTTTAAATGGCTACTGTTGATTCTAACAAAGTGGTATGCGGGGGTATTCACGCCATGATAGTGGCAGTTCTAGTTTATTTTATTTTAAATTCTCTCATGAACAATATCATTTTTGTGCCCCCACTTTAGTGGCGGGCATTTAGATTTACCCTTGTCCGTCCATCCGTCGGTCCTTCCGTCTGTCCGTTCTCTTTTGTGTTGCACATAACTCAAAAAGTATTTGACCTAGAGTCATGAAACTTTACAGGAATGTTGATCTGCATGTGTAGTTGTGCTTCTGGGTATTTTCGTCTGGATATATTTAGTATTTTTAGAGTTATTGCCCTTGACTTAGTAAAAATTTGCAATTTTCAACTTGTGTCGCATGTAACTCAAAAAGTATTTGACCTAAAGTCATGAAACTTACAGGAATGTTGATCAGCATGTATAGTTGTGCACCTGGGTATTTTCATCTGGATATTTTTAGTATTTTTAGAGTTATTGCCCTTGACTTAGTAAAATTTTGCAATTTTCAACTTCTGTCGCATGTAACTCAAAAGTATTTGACCTAGAGTCATGAAACTTTACAGGAATGTTGATCAGCATGTGTAGTTGTGCACCTGGGTATTTTTGTCTGGATATTTTTAGTATTTTTAGAGTTATTGCCCTTGACTTAGTAAAATTTTGCGATTTTCAACTTGTGTCGCATGTAACTCAAAATGTATTTGACCTAGAGTCATGAAACTTTACAGGAATGTTGATCAGCATATGTAGTTGTGCACCTGGGTATTTTCACCTGGATTTATTTTGTACTTTTAGAGTTATTGACCTTGACTTAGTAAAATTTTGCAATTTTCAACTTGTGTTGCATGTAATTCAAAAAGTATTTGACCTAGAGCCTTGAAACTTTACAGCAATATTGATCAGCATGTGTAGTTGTGCACCTGGGTATTTTTGTCTGGATTTATTTGGTATTGTTAGAGTTATTGCCCTTCACTTAGAAAATTTCAGCAATTTTCAACTTGTGTCACATATAACTCAAAAAGGATTTGACATAGAGTCATTAAACCTTCTGGGAAGGTTGCTCAGCATATTTAGTTTTGCACCTGGGGTTTCGCTTGTGGATTTATCCAGTATTTTTAGAGTTATTTCCCTTGACTTAGTAAAAACCGTTTCATTATGTTGTTATTTGTTCCTTGAGTTAGAATCAACCAACTTTACAGGAATAATGATCAACATCACTAAATTACAGGAATAATGATTCACATCACTGTGAAGCTATGCACCTGGGACTTTGCATTTGGATTTTTTTCAGTTTTGTTAGAGTTATTGCCCTTGACTTACATTAGTATAAATTTGCAATTTTCAACTTTTTCATGCATAGCTCAAAAAGTATTTCACTTGTAGGCCTGAAAGTTTACAAGAATGTTGGTCAGCATGTGAACTTATGCACCTTTGGGGTTGCTTGTGGATTTATTCAGTATTTGTAAAGTTCTTGCCTTTTACTTAGTAAAAGATTTTTAATTTTCATAAAATATTTGACCTAAAGTCATAAGATTGACAGAACAGTGGACACATTTCTAGTTCTGCTTATTTTGTTGAGTATTAAAAGTTCAACATCTAATACATCTTATTTTTATTTTCATTACATGCCTTGTTGCAGGACACCAACCCAATATTTTTGTTTAGCAAAAGTACCATCGAAAGTGCTATACCTCCATCACCAAGTGTTAATTATGGATCAGGTAAATGATTTGTCTTTGAGTAACATTTGAAATGTGATAGAAAGATATATTTTGCTCAAATTTTATATTTGAAAATATTGGGAATTGCTGTGCAGTCTCTTTGTATGTATAAAATAAACATGATTTGACTTCACATGAAGTAGATATACTATACACTATAGACTGACACAATATTAATATATAGTGTCATGAAAAAGACTGGCAGTTTTTAGCTCACCTGTCACAAAGTGACAGGGTGAGCTTTTGTGATCGCTTTTCGTCCGGCGTCCGTCCGTCCGTCCGGCATCCGTCCGTAAACTTTTGCTTTAAATGACATCTCCTCATAAACCACTGAGCCAATTTCATCCAAACTTCACAGGAATGTTCCTTTGGTGGTCACCTTTAAAAATTGTTCAAAGAATTTAATTCCATGCAGAACTCTGGTTGCCATGGCAACCGAAAGAAAAATCTTTAAATATCTTCTTTTAAACAACTCTAAGAGCTAGAGCTTAGATATTTGGCATGAAACATCTTCTAATGAGTGTCTACCAAGTTTGTTCAAATTAAAGCCCTGGGGTCAAAATTGGCCCCGCCACAGGGGGTCATTGATTTTCCCTATATGCATATAGTAAAAACTTAAAAAATCTTCTTTTAAAGAACCCAAAGAGCTAGAGCTTAGATATTTAGCATGAAACATCTTCTAATGAGTGTCTACCAAGTTTGTTCAAATAAAAGCCCTGGGATCAAAATTGGCCCCGCCCCGGGGGGTCATTGATTTTCCCTATATGCATATAGTAAAAACTTAAAAAATCTTCTTTTAAAGAACTGTAAGAGCTAGAGCTTAGACATTTGGCATGAAACATCTTCTAGTGAATGTCTACCAAGTTTGTTCAAATAAAAGCCCTGGGGTCAAAATTGGCCCCGCCCCAGGGGGTCATTGATTTTCCCTATATGCATATAGTAAAAACTTAAAAAATCTTCTTTTAAAGAACCCAAAGAGCTAGAGCTAAGATATTTGGCATGAAACATCTTCTAGTGAGTGTCTAACAAAGTTGTTCAAATAAAAGCCCTGGGGTCAAAATTGGCCCCGCCCTGGGGGGTCATTGATTTTCCCTATATGCATATAGTAAAAACTTAAAAAATCTTCTTTTAAAGAACTGTAAGAGCTAGAGCTTAGATATTTGGCATGAAACATCTTCTAGTGAATGTCTACCAAGTTTGTTCAAATAAAAGCCCTGGGGTCAAAAATGGCTCCGCCCCAGGGGGTCATTGATTTTCCCTATATGCATATAGTAAAAACTTAAAAAATCTTCTTTTAAAGAACCCAAAGAGCTAGAGCTAAGATATTTAGCATGAAACATGTTCTAATGGGTGTCTACCAAGTATGTTTAAATTAAAGCCCTGGGGTCAAAACTGGCCCCGCCCCAGGTGTCATTGATTTTCTTTATATGTGTTTAGCAAAAAACTTAAAAAACTTCTTTGAAAAAAACCAAATAGGTAGAGTTTAGATATTAAGCATGAAACATCTTTAAGTAAATATCTACAAAGTTTGTTTAAATAAAAGCCCGGGGGTCAAAACTGGCCCTGCCCCAGGGGTGTCATTGTTTTTAACTATATGTGTATAGTAAAGACCTTAAAAGATCTTCTTTTAAAAAACCCAATGAGCTAGAACTTACATGTTTAGCATGAAAACATCTTCTTATGGGTGTCTACCAAGTCTGTTCAAATAAACAAATAAAAGCCCTTGGGTAAAAATTGGCCGTGGGGTAGGGGGGGAGGCTATATACAGGTGAGCGACGTCAGGGCCATCATGGCCCTCTTGTTTAAAGAAAAGACCAATTTTACTTGACCTGTAATAAGGAACACAGCTTCTCATACATAGTTTATTCATTCTTTTATTCTTTGACATATTCAGTAAGAATTCCATATTTTTTTATAAGTATCGGCAATTAAAAAATTTTACTCACAGATGTGCATAGTATATCTTAAAACAGACGTGGCTTGCTTTGAATTTAGAATAGTCCAATGAAAGTTTAAGGATATCGATACAAATGTATCAAAATACAAAAATGAAGCTACCAACAGTATAGAGCCGGATCAAGTCAGACTGCACAGATGTGCATGCTAGCCTGGCTCTATACTGGTTAAAAATGCTGATCTTTTTTCATCTAGCATGAGTTTAGTGCTTTGTTATCCTACAATGCTTTGAAATTAAGTTGCATAATACAGCCTTATATTAACAGTTTGAATTACCTGGTTTGTAATGACATGACATATCACAAATTTCAGACATAGATCTACAAGGTCAAGTTGAAGGTTCACTTTTGATGCCACCAGCTTATGAAACAGTTGTATCAAGGGCTCAGCTTGCTTTGGTAGGTTTTAAATGTTTTATGATATAGATAAAGCATTGGTCTTAATTTGTTTTTAATTGTCAATTTGAATGAACATTTATATATTAAGTTCGAAAACAATTATTTAGGTTTTAAACGTTTTATGATATAGATAAAGCGTTTCATTGTCAAAATGAAAGTACATGTATATATTAAGTTTGAAAGCAATTATTTATATCCCTTTTAAAAATATTTTTGTTAAGTACTTTTATTTGATTTCAAAAATCTAAAAAAAAGGTGAGATACATCTCCAGTTTCTATAATGCATATTTTACATACGAAACATTCCAAAACGCTGGGTAGACTGCAAGAAAAGCATTTGGACATAATTCATATCAAAACATCTAATCATAACAGTTGTAAGAGACATGGAAGTCCCATTAGAAAACTTAAAAAAAGCAAGTACGAGAAGTTATTTTATTGAGAAAATTATTACTTGAGATATTCAATTGAAACTTACAATACTTATTTATAGTAACAAGGTACATCAGATTGACAAGTTGGATAACTCTGCCTACAATATTGACAGAATTATGCCCCTTTTTAGCTCGACTATTCGATAAGAATAAGTAGAGCTATTGCAGTCACCCGAGCGTCGGCGTCGGCGTAACCACTTACGTTAAAGTTTTTGTAATAGTTCAAATATTTTCAAAGTCCATTGACATATGGCTTTGAAACTTTGCACACTTGTTCACCATCATGACCCCAACCTGTAGACAGGAGGAGGTAACTCTATCAAGCATTTTGACAGAATTATGCCCCTTTTTCGACTTAGAATTTACGTTAAAGTTTTTGTAATAGTTCAAATATTTTCAAAGTCCATAGACATATGGCTTTGAAACTTTGCACACTTGTTCAACATCATGACCCCAACCTGTAGACAGGAGGAGGTAACTCTATCAAGCATTTTGACAGAATTATGCCCCTTTTTCGACTTAGAATTTACGTTAAAGTTTTTGTAATAGTTCAAATATTTTCAAAGTCCATTGACATATGGCTTTGAAACTTTGCACACTTGTTCAACATCATGACCCCAACCTGTAAACAGGAGGAGGTAACTCTATCAAGCATTTTGACAGAATTATGCCCCTTTTTCGACTTAGAATTTACGTTAAAGTTTTTGTAATAGTTCAAATATTTTCAAAGTCCATTGACATATGGCTTTGAAACTTTGCACACTTGTTCACCATCATGACCCCAACCTGTAAACAGGAGGAGGTAACTGTATCAAGCATTTTTTTTACTATCAAGCACTAAGAATAGTCAAGCGTTGCTGTCCTACCGACAGCTCTTGTTAACTTATAAAATTTGGTTAAAGTTTTTTGTAAAGTCAAATATCTCAATTATTGCTTGAGATATTCAATTGCAACTTACAATACTTATTTATAGTAACAAGGTACATCGGATTGACAAGTTGGATAACTCTGCCTACAATATTGACAGAATTATGCCCCTTTTTAACATAGAAATTTTGGTTAAAGTTTTTTATAAAGTCAAATATCTCAATTATTGCTTGAGATATTCAATTGAAACGTACAATACTTATTTATAGTAACAAGGTACATCAGATTGACAAGTTGGTAAACTCTGCCTACAATATTGACAGAATTATGCCCCTTTGGAACTTAGAAATTTTGGTTAAAGTTTTTTTGTAAAGTCATATATCTCAATTATTGCTTGAGATATTCAATTAAAATTTACAATACTTTTTTATAGTAACATTGTTCATCAGTTTGCAAAATTGCATAACTCTGCCTGCAATATTTACAGAATTATTTGCCCCTTTGAAACTTAGAAATTTTGGTTAAAGGTCTTCAAAGATATTTACTTGAAACTTTACATATGCACTTAGGGTCATAATTGGAGGGTCATAATTGTATGTCACTGACCAAGTTTCATAACTCTATCTTGCATTAAGGCTGATTCATATCCCCTTTCTACTTAGTCTCTTGGTAAATGTTTACATGCAAGTTTTACATATCTCAATAACTATTAAATATATTTATTTAAAACTTCACATATGCATTTAAGGTCATAATTGTAGGTCACTGACAAAGATCCATAATTCTATCTTGCATAAAGGCTGATTTTTCTCCCCTTTTTCAACTTAGAAATTCATGGTAAAGTTTTGCTTGTAAGCTGTTATCTCAATAACTACTGAAGGGTTTGTGCCTTTTTTGGGACAATTTTATGCATTCATAATAATAAAGCAGTGATTTACTTGATAAAACATCTTAATAATAAGCCTTTGTACCTTTTCTGTCAAATTTATGTATTCATAGGTAATAAGTATTATTATACTCAATAAAACACCCTTGTGACATTACGTTCCGAATAGTCAAGCCAATACTGTATAATTAGACTCTCTCTAAGGCCTATAACATGAATTTATAAAATAGAATTAGCCCTTTTGTGAACTTAAAAAATTTAACATTATCAAGGCTCTTTTACTATCAAGCACTTTGATGTCCTACTGACAGCTCTTGTTATATGTTACCATTAGAAAACATGTTGATTTTTGTACAATAAATTTGTACAGTAAATGAATTTAATTTTGTGCAATAAATGAGTCATGTTCTTATTCATCAACATAGATAATTTCCCATTCTATTCATATACTTGCAGCAATTTCAAGATGTGGATACAGAGGAGTTAAAAGCCTGTGAAAGATTGATACATGACCAACACTTACAGCAACAAGGCTGGGCTGCAGTTGTTGCTAACCTTGAAGATGTAACAAGGTACCTTTGATTATATTCACTATAACAGAGAGATTTGTAATGTTGTCTGTTTTTTTTCATCTGTACATATTTATTTGTAGTAAACTGTCCAATTAGAGAGAAAACTGTATAAATATAGCTGTTAATAACTATCAGGAAATATTATTTATTACAAAAACACTGTCAATGATTTTTTATCTCACCTGTCACAAAGTGACAGGGTGAGCTTTTGTGATCGCTTTTCGTCCGTCCGTCGTCCGTCCATCCGTAAGTTTTTACTTTAAATGACATCTCCTCATAAACCACCAAGCCAATTTCATCCAAACTTCACAGGAATGTTCCTTTGGTGGTCACCTTTAAAAATTGTTCAAAGAATTTAATTCCATGCAGAACTCTGGTTGCCATGGCAACCAAAAGAAAAAACTTTAAATATCTTCTTTTAAAAAACCCAAAGAGCTAGAGCTTAGATATTTGGCATATAACATCTTCTAGTGAGTGTCTACCAAGTTTGTTCAAATAAATGCCCTGGGGTCAAAATTGGCCCCGCCCCAGGGGGTCATTGATTTTCCCTATATGCATATAGTAAAAACTTAAAAAATCTTCTTTTAAAGAACCCAAAGAGCTAGAGCTAAGATATTTAGCATGAAACATCTTCTCATGAGTGTCTACCAAGTTTGTTCAAATAAAAGCCCTGGGGTCAAAATTGGCCCCGCCCCAGGGTGTCATTGATTTTCCCTATATGCATATAGTAAAAACTTAAAAAAAAATCTTCTTTTAAAGAACTCAAAGAGCTAGAGCTAAGATATTTAGCATGAAACATGTTCTAATGGGTGTCTACCAAGTTTGTTCAAATAAAAGCCCTGGGGTCAATATTGGCCCCGCCCCGGGGGTCATTGATTTTCCTTATATGTGTATAGCAAAAACTTAAAAAATCTTCTTTGAAAAAACCAAAATAGCTAGAGTTTAGATATTAAGCATGAAACATCTTCTAGTGAGTGTCTACAAAGTTTGTTCAAATAAAAGCCCTAGGGTCAAAATTGGCCCCGCCCCGGGGGTCATTGATTTTCCTTATATGTGTATAGCAAAAACTTAAAAATCTTCTTTGAAAAAACCCAAATAGCTACTGTTTAGATATTAAGCATGAAACATCTTCTACTGAGTATCTACAAAGTTTGTTCAAATAAAAGCCCTGGGGGTCAAAACTGGCCCCGCCCCAGGGGTGTAATTGTTTTTAACTATATGTGTATAGTAAACACTTAAAAAATCTTCTTTTAAAAAACCCAATGAGCTAGAGCTTAGATGTTAAGCATGAAACATCTTCTTATAGGTGTCTACCAAGTTTGTTCAAATAAAAGCCCTTGGGTTAAAATTAGCCCTGCCAGGGGGGGGGGGGGGTCATTGTTTTTCATTATATATGTATAGTAAAAACTTAACATCATGAAACATCTTCTAATCGGTGTCTTCCAAGTTTGTTCAAATAAAAGCCCTTGGGTTTAAACTGGCCTCGCTCCGGGGGCCTATTTACAGGTGAGCGACCTCAGGGCCATCATGGCCCTCTTGTTTTAAAAACCACTGATACTTTTTAAATTGGGAAGATTTAGTGTGATAACCAGAAGAAAATTGGGAAAATTTTATCAAATCTCTTAAAACATTCACATTTCTAAGATAAAGATAAAAACATATTGATTGTGTTTTGGGGAAAAAAAACCCATATATGCCTAAAATGTTGATTTAGTTGGTGAAAATCATAGTTTTTGGGAATTTTCCAGATTAAATTGGGCATGTTGCAGTTTTGTCACTTGGAACAAGGACTTTGTTTTGCCTGTTTTATGAAAAAAGGTCACTGGCCAAAATTTGTACCTAATATACTCACATATTTATTATAAAAACATAATAAATTAATTTCAATGGTTTTGTATACATTAGGTTGTAATACAGCACTACATTTTGTTTGAAAATAGTTGAATGCCTTACAAGTCATTCTTTAAACCAATGAGAATACATGTAGTTACATAGTTTTCCTGTAAACAAGTCATTGAAATAATGATATAAATATTTGCCTTCCTTATTTCAGTGAACTTCAGAATAGGTCAGAGACATTTCATGAGACATACAAACAGTATCTGGAGGACAGACAGTCTTATAGGGACCTTATTACAAGGTAATTGTATATCATATACTAAAATCTGTAAATCATTTAACAAAATTGCCTGGTTCATTTACTGACAGCCTTCATACCTTGCTCAATATGGAGGTCTGTGAATTACATTGTATTAGGTCTAATCTATATCTAAACTTTGTATTTCCATGACAACCACACCAAACTTCATTTATTCTCTAATGCTACATTCATGATTTATGCACATAATTGGGCTTTTTTGTGAAGGTATAATAGTTAATTACTGTCAAAGAATCTAGTTACTCTTGTATATAAATGTGATTGTCTACAGTTATAAAACTGAAATACTGACATATAACCAAACAAAACATTATTTTTTGACATACATAAGTTTTCATGCTTGAACGTTTATATATTAAGTGTGACATTTATAGTTTTATTTACATAATTATTTTGTAAGCTGTCACACATTAGTTATTTTGATAATGAACTGTATCCTTATGATTGAATGAATGTAATATCGCGATTTCCAGTTAGTTCTTTACCAATACAATGATCCAATTTTTATTTTCAGGAAATGAGTTTTCTATTATAACTATTTCACCAAAGACCTTTTAAGATCTTTTTATAAGTTAACAAATCATATCAACAACAATTTGACTTGAAACTCATTCAACAAAACAATGTATTTTTTATTACAGTGTTACAGAGTCTCTACAGTTATTGTCCAAGATTCCAGTGATACCTTCTTTAGTGAGATCTTGTGACGTAACACCAGTAGACTGCAGCTCTTCCACTGAAGATCTAGCTAAATTTTCTCTCTTTGATTGGATCAGCTCACAAGTAATTTTTATCAATGATGATATCATTTACATTCTGTTTTGAGTTTGATTATATTGTTTTTAGCTTGACTGTTCGATGAATAGAAACAGCTATTGTATTCATGTAGGCATTTTTTAGCCATTTGTTACACGCAAATACATTATTGTAACAAAAATTTCCATTATGAGCCATATTTTACATGTTGTGGGTTGGATTGTGATAAAAAAACAGCATAAATCATTATTCCTGAATGTATTTTGTAATAATAAAATGATGCTCATCAAATACCATATAAACTATCAAACTCTGATTGTACACTTTTGAGTTATAGCTCTTAATAAATTTAGAATAGGCATATTTTCCTACTAATATGTTGATCTCAAATCTGATGTACTACATTTAAATATTATTCATTTGTATTTTAGTAAGGAAATGATTCAAATCATTCATTTGTGTTTAATTGCATTATAGCCCTTAATAACTTATAATCAACTCTACCCAGAGCCAAATATTGAAATATATTTATACTAGTATCTGGTCTAATTTGATTTAGTAAGCTTGATAATTTGAACGTAAATTTGCATGCTTTTACTACATCTGAAATTGTAATTCATTATATTAACATACTTTAAATGAATGACCCAATGACACTACATAATGTCATAATACTATAATAATGCCATTTATCTATAAAAAAGGATGTCCCTTGTTTTAACACTGCTAGATTATGTGGGCTTAATATCACGATAATTTTGATACCAATTCATTTTCACTTATATTTTGAGTAACATAAAACTGTGTGAATTGTAACATACATTTGGAGGTAGTAATTCAATAAATTTGCTTGTGTATAATGATTTGTCAAGATAATATGTTTTTACACTTTCTATAAATATTAAGTGTACATGTACTTCATATTTTGAACAATCTTCTTTTGAGACATAATTGTCTGTTGTTCTAACCCATTAATGAATTTATTTATATGAAATGTGTTTTATAACAATTTACTATAACTGATTTGTTGGAATATGAATGATACTATTTCAGGACACCAACCATACCTTACATGACATGGTGGAACAATGTGGGAAAGCTACGGAACAGGTAATTACCTTATCTATGTATGATGGTGTTTATCCCATAGCTTGTTGGTAAGGAGAGATAAAATATAAAAACTGCCCAAAAATTGAAAAAACGACTACCTCACTCTTTTTATGGACTGAGCATAACCAATACATTCTGAAGGATGATTATGTTACTTGGGTAATTGTATATTCTTTAAAAGTAGAACCTGAAATTAGAGACAAATATGGCAAAATGTAAACTTATATTTTGACTTTTTCTTCTACTCTCAACATTTGCATTTGGATGGGGATAATGTCACTTTAATAAGCAATTGTGCAATACATATTATAGTTGGATGAGAAGGTAGATGAGTCATTGAAGGGTGAGGTGGACCAAATGATGAAAGAAGTACAGAATGATGGTATGAAAGAGGTAAAAGGTCTGGAGGATAGGCTGTATGGACTAGATCAGATAATCTCTGGCGCCAGAAAAATAGTACAAGAACAGGCAGAATTAGCACAGGTATAATTTCTTGATATGCTTTTGCTTGACTATTCAAAGAATAGTGGGGCAATCCTAATTATCAGGGTGTAATCATCAGTGTGTCTGTGTTGTTTTTTTTGCCCTTTGTTGAGATACAAATTTCTGGTTAAAGTTGCACTGGCAACATCAATCTTTGCATACATATATATCCAAAATGTAAAGTTGTAAACAATACAGGTGAAATTGGTAGATATTTTTCTATTATTATAATAGTTTTGTGAATAAATGTAATTTGGAAAAAGTCATCGCTTCATTCTTTTATTTAGATACACATAATGTATATATAATATTGTTATGAAATTTTTGAAAATTTTTAGAAAATTGATACACTATATTTTAGGGATTTGTACAGAACCAGAATAGGTTAAGCAATATACGGGACAGATCAATTTTGCCTGATCTATGTTCTAGTCATCGTAATCAGCTGATTGAAATGATGAAAAATCATTCACGACTTAGAGAAATCAAGAAGAAATGCCGCATGGCTAAAGAGGAACTTTCTGTTAACCTACACACAAGATTAAGGTAACAGAAGTTTTATTGTAAATTAACATGCTTATAAACCTTTCTTTTCATCCCTCATTATGCAAAAATATCTTAAATGGACCAGTCAATCTTTCAATCTTGACAAAACCACTCACTGAAAAGCGAATAATACATTCTGTTATCAGATAGCACAGATGTGCTGGGTGATCTTGGTCTGTATTAGTTGCATGGGTATATTCAGTTGCTACCAACAGAATGTAAGTTCATTTAGTAAGTTGTAATAAGGTAAATTGTAGAGGTAATTTTAGAATGATTTGATTGTTTATGAAATGATATATCTACTTTCATAGAATTGATGCATTTTATATACAGTTATTGTGAAATATTCATATTTTATTTTGCTTTGTTGCATTTGTCATGTGGTGACTGAAACCATCTTTGTAGATGAAAAAAGCTCTGGTACCAGTCCAAACATAAAGCAAACATTAATGCAGGTAAAGATAAGTACTTTAGCAGAAACAGCCAGTTCTATATGAACATATTCGACATCTGGAATCACTGATGGGATTTGTTCTTGTTTATTAATTCCTGTTTTATTTTATTTACACAGATGGGTAATGTATGTAGAAAAGAAGATATGTGATGTAGATGGTAAACTGACAATATATCTAGGTAACCTTAGAAGATTAAGGAAGCGTCTTGACATCTTACAGCAAGTTCAAGACTCTCCTAAAGTCTATGCACAACTTATGATTGAAGTCGTTCGAAGAAAACAATTCTCTAGCAAGTTTCTATCTGTAAGTATAGTTATTTTGTTACCAAATTTTAAATGATGTTATGACTCTTTAATTTTCTATAATGAATACTATGATAATTTAATTGATGCATAGAACTTACACACTAATACTTAATATTCATAGTAGCCATCCTTCACAAAACAGGTAAAAACTGCATAGCATTAAAGATAAATCATGAATGGAGCTTTTGCTTTCTTAGAACAGTTTGATTCATTAATGTTTAAGTGTAAGTGAAAATACATTAATGAAAACATATATATTATATTTAACAGACTTCTCTTTCCTGGTAATTTCAGTGGGCTAATTCTTTAGCTGAGGACTCTAGCAGATTACATGCTGAAGAACTAAAGAGAAGGGACTCATTTTTAAGGATAATAGGTAACATTGTTAACATTGTTTCATATTGAATTGTATTATTATTTGAAGTTAAGAATTGTGAATGTGGATTTTAATGGAATTAAGTTGAAAAATTGATTTAACATTTGTTTTTTGATTAATTTTGATATACAACAAGATAACTTGACATATGAATTTATAGAAGACAACATCAAACAATATATTCAAGCATTACACAAAAGGAGTTGAAATAAAATTATTTACAGTCTGGCCTTGAAGATAGATATATGATAAGGCATTGAAAATTTTTTTTAACCTCATTATCAATTTTATTGGTTATTTGTCATTGAATTTCTTCTCAGCTCTGACTTAAAAGATTGCCTTGTTTAAGTAACTTTTATTACATTTTCAGGTCATCATTTCTTGCAAGCAATGTTCCATGGATTTGAAGATTTTCCACCGGCATTTGCTGTAAGTATGCTTGTACCATATATTACATTTATGATCAAATTTTAAAATGTGTCATAATTATTATAATGACAGCAGGTAATCACTAGACTTGACTGCAGGAGTTATATGTTTTAACAAAAGATAATTGACTAGCTGTTAAAATTATGTTTAATATGCTTTGTTATATTATCTATTTAAACTATGTGACTGTTGGTTAACCTTTTAATAAGTTATTTTATGGTAACAGTTTTCTGTTACTTACAACTTGTCTTAAGGTTGTTAACTTTAAACCACTACCCTCTCATACCACTGTGGGTTCCAATCCTGACAGGGACTTTGGATTCTTCCATGTTAGAAAGCTATCCAGCTAACTTACAGAATGGAATGCTGGTGGTTTCTTTTGTTTGATAAAAAACCCCAAAAAACAAACAAACAGATTTGACAGTGATTTATATAGAACATACTTCAGACATTGTTGTTGTATTGTTTACATGTGTAGACTGAGGCTCCAGAAGAGTTTGATGGAAATCTTCCTGATATTACTGCTGATGATATAAAACAACTGAAAGAAGCAGTGCCAGAATTGTCAGGTGTTCTCAGGTAATAAGTGCTATATATAGTAGTTTGTGACTTCTTATGAATTATATTAGTTATAGTATTAGATAGTTTTACATCATAAGATGTTACAGATTATAATGATGAAGGTTTAAGGAAGTTTGCGCAGAAATTATGTATATGATTTTGTAACTAAAAATTATGTGAATTGTGTTCTTAATTAGCACCTAAAAGACTCAATTGATAAAAATCATTTACTTGTCTGTTTGGATCACTTTATTATGCCCCCACAAAGTGGGGAGCATATAGCGTTGCACTTGTTCGTCCGTCCGTACGTCTGTCCGAGCAAACATTTTGGGTTTAGGGGCTATATAACAGTAAAGAGAACAAAAGAGAACAATAGGTTCATTCCGTGATCAAAAGGTTTATGGGCTAGTAGCCCTTAAGAAAACAAAGAAAATAACAAAGAAAATAGTCCCTATACCCAAAATGTTGGAGCGGACGGACGTCCGTCCGTCCTTCCTTAAGTCCGTCCGTCCCGAAATCTTGTGAACGCAACACCTCTTAAACCGGATGGCAGATTTTGCTTAAACTTCCAGGGATGAACAACCTTAATGTGTAGATGGTAGTAAAGGAAGGAATTTTCGCTGCAACCAAATTTAACAGAATTATGGCCCTTTGTTGATTTTTTCACTATATACTATGTAGAAATTTTGTGAACGCAACTCCTCTTAAACCGGATGGCAGATTTTGCTTAAACTTCCAGGGATGAACAACCTTAATGTGTAGATGGTAGTAAAGGAAGGAATTTTTGCTGCAACCAAATTTAACAGAATTATGGCCCTTTGTTGATTTTTTCACTATATACTATGTAGAAATTTTGTGAACACAACTCCTCTTAAACCGGATGGCAGATTTTGCTTAAACTTCCAGGGATGAACAACCTTAATGTGTAGATGGAAGTAAAGGAAGGAATTTTCGCTGCGACCAGATTTAAGAGAATTATGGCCCTTTGTTGATTTTTTCACTATATACCATATATATGTTGTCAGTGGGGGCATCAGTGTCCTTTGGACACAGTTCTAGTTTTTATTTCTTGTGAAAACGTAGCTATGTATATGTTGTATATTTTAGATGTCTTTAATTAACTGATATAACTTGGTTTAGATAATTACAGTTCTTGCAGGTGTACAAACATTTCATCATTGGTGTTAATTTTTCTTTTACATGTACATGCTGTAGTATATAGTGACTCAATTTAACACAATTATAACTCACATACATGTATATTTCTCCAAAAATATTTTATAGTGACATTATGCTCATCCAAAAGTGAATAATGAATGTTCAGGTAAATTTAAAATTATTTTACATTTTGTCATATTTGTTTTCCATTTTGTCATAATTATCTTCTGATTAACCCCTGTGACTCGTATGAATATGTATATATGTATCCTTTGGAAAATATTGATAATGTTTAATTTAGAAAAGCAGTGGGACAGTCTTTTTATATTTTAGGCAGTTTTTATATTTTTGTGGTTATCAATTATTGTTCAGTTTCCTAAAAAATAATCAGTCTTTTAAGATGAACTAATTTTTCTCAGCTTGACAGTGCAAAAATGAGCATAATGTCACTTTAACTAGATTAATGCAAACATTTTCTTAGCTCAATAGTTTTAAGCTGATAATTTTCTTACATTCAAGTGTACCAGTTGAAGAAGATTTGTTTGTGGCTTTAACAAACGTTCAGGACCCCATGGTACAGTGGGTTGACAGTTCGGAACCAAATTTGAAAGTGCTGACAGTACCTCGTAAACTTTCACGTGCCAGGTCAGACTCTGATGCTGTACATGAGGAGCATATGCAGCCTTATTCTATAGAAGGTGGAAGTATCTCCCTAGGTGACCAGTTTGAGGAATGTAAAGTTGAGGAGGAGGATTTAGTGTGTAAACCAAGATTCGACTCTCTCAGTCCACCAGATAAAGAGTTCCTGCTCCCTAAAAGCTTATCAGAAGAACTGACTTTAGAAATGAAGAAACAAGAGGCAGCGCTCAAAAAAGAGCTTTGTGATGTGACTGATGGTAAAGTATCTTAAATCCATTGAGATTAATAATTGTCTATCTGGCTGTTTATACAGCAGTACTTTATTGGCTGGGATCTCAAAATTCTTTCAAGTGGGTGAATAGTCATCTTCTAGTAAAAAGTTTTGTGTGAAACTCTATCTCTTAATATTGTGTGTAGGACCAAATACCAGTCAGGATTTAACTTTAAGGTTAACATTGGACTAAATTTTGCATGTACAGGATGTTTGAATGCATCATGCTAAGACAATATAGAATTGTTACATAAGTTATGATTGTTTGCTTTGTAGGTTTATTAGTAATTAGTCTTTATTTGTATATTATTCTCCTTTTACTTTGTAAATAAATATTATCTCTACTATATGTGCTAATAACAAATACTGTACTGTAACACAATGTAACATTTTCAATTTTCAAGTTCTATTCTACTCTTAAATAAATATAACTGGATATATGATGCACTGTATATTGTATACTATATATTGCACTGTTATAGATTCTAAAAGGAAAGAAGGAAATTCCAACTCTACTTCCACAACCCCAATTCCTAGCCTTCCCACAGTCAAACATCGTGTATCTCGCAAGTCCTTAACTGACACATCCCCTGATATGGAAACCTCACAGGAATTCACCACAGCTGATTTCTATTTTGATGAGTCTATGCCTTCCTCAATAGAATCCCCTCCTAAATCTAGTACTGAAATGAAAGTTAATCAAGAACAAATTATTCTTGCAGAGAAACAGCTCAATGCTAAACTACAATTACAGTTAAAAGAAAGTAATAAAAAACTAAGTCAGAATGAAAAAACATTAAAAGCCTTGTGTGAGTTTGTTGAAAATAAAATTCCTTCATTGAGAGACAATGTGAAAGATTTAAAAAAGGAACAAAAAGATCATATTCAGAATGTGCTAGTAGATATGGAAGATTTGCGGACAAATGTGATTCAGATGGTTCAAACATATGACAAAGTAGTTACTGAAAATAACGAAGCTATGCTAGACAAGTTAACAGCTGAAAAAGATAAAAGATCAAATGAGCTGAGTGAATTGTTGGAATTAGAAACAAAGAAAGCTAAGGATTTACAAGAAAGTCTGGAAAGACTTGAGGAAGAAATGAAGGAGAAGGAGTTGAAAGTAAGTGAGTTAAAAGAGCAAGAAAGTCAGTTTGAAACAAAACTTGAAGAAGTGAGAAATGGATTGTTAAGTGAAATAAAAGAATTGACTCAGAAATATGAACTTGAAGTAGAGGTTGAAGTTGATAAAGCTAGGTCAGAAAGTTCAGTGTCTATAAGTAATTTAGAGAAAGAATTAGCAGATAAGACTAATGTCATTTGTGAAAAGGAAAGTGCAATAAAGACATTGGAGAAGGAAAAGATTAAATTGGAAGAAAATCTTATGGATAAGTTTCAGGTTGAAAAAGAGCAAATCTGTGATATTTTAGAAATTGAATATGAACAAAAACTTGCAAATGCAGAAAAAGAGCATAATGAAAAAGTTGAAATGATGAAGCAGTCAATTGTTGCTGAGTTAAAAGAAAAACATGAAACAGAGACAAAACAAAAGTTAGATGACCTAAAGCAAAGTTTGATGGTTGAAAAAGAGCAGGCTGTTGAAATGACCCAAAGTTTGATGGTAACCGAACACTCAAAAGCTGCTGATGAAATTAAACAGAAGTTGATAGATGAGAAATCAGCAGAGATGGCAAAGTATTCAGAAGAAATGGAGAGTAAATATCAGGATGATGTAGCAAAGTTAAGTGCAGAATTCAATAAGGAAAAAGAATTGTTATTCAATGAATTAAGTGCATTAAAGAATAGGGAATATTCACACATTGAAAGTCAGACTGTAAACTCTGTGTTTAATGTTAGTGATAATGATGCTCAAACAAATTCAGCCCCTGCACAGCTTGATTCACAAGCACAGACAAATGTAACAGAACAGTTGACTGCTTCAATGCAGACTGATCCAAGTGACCAAACTCATTTAGCAATACAAACTGACACCACAGATACCAAAAGCTCAACAATGCAAACAGACAAAGCTGAGGTAAATGAACATTCTGGACAGACTGATGTCACACAGTTGTATGATATGTCTGTACAGACAGAAATTTGTGATACTGGCTGTGAGAAAACTACCTGTGATACTCCAGACAAGATGGCATCAGTGTCCGATGATAAAAGTGAGACACCTTCAAATGGTAATGCAGAGGAAAAGGTTGGATCAGATAACCACAATACCACCATTGAAGAAATGAAGAATGCTTTACAGGCTGAATATGACCAGGTTAGATCATTTATTATTTTTTCTAAAAAATGCATGATCTCTTCTGGTATCTGTTTATGTTTACATAAACATACACTTTTGTACTTCATCCTCATTGATATTCAATTAAATGCTTTCATTAGGTGTCTAATTAATTTGCACACATGGTGGTGTTTGTAAATCTTTACTTGATTATAAGACAAATTTAGAAGACAATGTTGTTCATAAATATGAATAAGTGCATCAGTATCACATATAAATGTCAACTGATACTAACTATTTCTGTATAACTGCCAAATTAGTGAAAATCAAAGCCAAATCATTTGGACTCATATTTTAAGTGATAGTGTATGATAAAGCGAAAACAATTATTTCCTTTATCAGAATAAGGCTTAAACTAATCTCAAATAAGAGAAAAGTGCGGAGAAAAAACATTGTCTGTGTCTTAGAAATAAAATACATGATAATGATATAGTTTATAAGAATGAATTGGAAACTTTTGTTGCTATTTAATAATTGACTCGTTATCATTTATGCAAGTATAACATTTCTGTACTATTTAGAGGATTGATGCTTACATGAAATTATTCAGTTTTGGATATTTACTAATAAATTTAATTTCAAGAACATGTGATAAACTTACAAAGTTTTTTTTTATAACTTTTTATTGCCCTGTAGTTTCTTTATACCATCAAAAGTTGTCATAGAATATTTAATTTTTTATTGTAGAAGTTGGCAAAGATGGAAGAGGATCACAATGCAGAGATCAGTAAACTTATAGCACTAATAGAGAAAGAGAAAGAAGATGCACAACAACTTAAATCTAGTCTTACATCTATGACTGGTGATAAACAGGTAAATATAAGCAGAAAAGTGATTAATACCTAATAAAAATATGCTTAAAGTAGAATATGTTGAATGATTGATTCTTGGTGAAGAAGATGGTTTAAAAAATATTTTGATGAGATGACTGTCCTCATTATTTATAAATGTTCAAAGGTCAAGTTTAAATTGTTCTGTGTCACACAATGATATTTTGATAGTCTGACATGTCTAAAATGAATATATTCGTAACCTTTGATGTTTCTCATGTTTTGAGATACTCTTGAGATCAGCATCAGTGTACATAACTTTATAAAGATATACTATGCTTAAATTTGACATTAGGAAATATTGATAATTGATACATAGTCTCTTTGTAAATATAAAATAGACATGTTTTGACTTCTAAATATAGTAAATATGTTATGTTTAAAATTCTGCACACTAGATATATTGATAGTCACAATAAGAACATATAGTGTTGTTAAAAAAACTGGCAGTTTTTATTTTTTAAAGAAAACACCAACTTTAGTTGACCTGTAAAAGGGAACGTAGTTTCCAATACATAGTTTATTCATTCTTTTATTCAAACTAGACATATTCAGTAAGAATTTCATAGATTTCAATAAATTTCTGTGATTAAAATATTTTACTCAAGGATGAGCATAGTCTATCTTTAAGAAAATAAATTATCTTCTTTAAAGGACAAATAACAAAAAAAAAATCTTTTTGCAGTAGAAAGCTTTTGTCATGAATGTGTCAGAGAAAAATAGTTTGCTCATTAAAAATAGTAAATAGTTTATCATTACTGTTATCTTAAACAGTAGTTTATCTTTACTGTTATCTTAAACAACTAGTCATATTTTGTTTGATAAGCTATACTCATATTTTACATTATGAATTTTCAGACCAAGTTTAATGAGGCAGTGAACAGAGTTAGTAAAGAAAAGGATAGAGTGATAGAAGAATTGAGAATAAAAGAGAGTAAAGTTGTAGAAGATATCAAAAAGTTGAAAGGTAAAGGTTTAGATTTGATGACATAGAAAGCTGTATGATATTTCAATTGTTGTTGTTTTTTTTCCAGTATAAAAATACTGTGCTTTATATATTTTTTGTCTTTTACGTATTGAAAGAGTTGGAAGTCATTTTAAATTTTAGTTAATTCCAACAAAAATACTAGCATAATTAATTAGTCATTGTTTATTATTTTAATTCTATCTTTATTATCAATGATACTTTAATTGAACACAGCAATTACTCAAAAATGTAATAGTTCATTGCCTTGATAATGTTTTATTGATAAACTGGATACTGACATCTTCTCAAATATATTTTATCTGTATTATATATAGATATATAGTTTTGTCTTTTCTTTGAACATTATTGACCTTAACAGATTACAGCAGGCAGACATATTATTTCCAGTAATCAAATAATTAAATTACAATGCAGTTAAATTCATATTACCATGTTATCATGTTATGATATATGTTAAGTATAATAATATTGTATTATAGGGCAAATAGAAACGTTGAAGGAGGAGAAAAGTAAGGCAGAGGATATCAAGGAACGAGCTTTGTCTTTCCTCAAGGACAAGGAGGCTAATCAGCGTCTACTAGAGAGTGAACTAGGCTTGGCCCAGCAACAGGTGATACAATACAAGGAACAACTACAGAATTTGGCACCAGACTCTTCGGATATTACAGTAACTAAATCATCATCTTCTGTTGTCAAAATAAGGTAAATTTACCATAACTATCTGATGATAATTTGTAGTATTAAATGGTTCATTAATAATTGGAAATGATTATTTCTGAAATACAATGTTGTGTTTTTATAATTTGATTTTTATAATAAGGAGTTATTTTAATTTTAAGTTCATTGTCATATTATAGTATACAGTAAATAATTTATCAAAGAAGGTTTGACAAACTGTGCAATAGATAAACTGTACAATATCATACAATAATGCAATAAAGCATTTTGCATATGATATGTAATATATCTTAACCCATAAGAGCTTATTTGTTTAAGAAGGAATTAATGCAGACCTTTTTAAGAATATCTAAGTTTATATCTTTCAGCCATGATGACTTTTACAACTTTTTGATTTATACATCAAACATTGCATTAGTTTAATATTTTATCAAAATGTCAGTTATATTTATGTTTAATAAGGTTTTAACTCAAACATACATGTATAATATTACATTTCTGGCCAGCCATCAAAAGTTTCTCTCTCCATGTTTTAGTGATCCAGAAGAACCTGCTTTACATCAGAGAATAAAAGACCTTGAAGATGTAAGACTTTACATTTCTTATTTATATATGTTCTCATGTTTTGTTTCTTATGTGTGGCTTTAATCTGTCCATCTGCTAGACTTATGACAGTTATAACAAGGTTTGTGAAATCTATATATGAGCCATGTCACGACAAAACCAACATAATGGGTTTGCGACCAGCATGGATCCAGACCAGCCTGCGCATCCGCGCAGTCTGATCAGGATCCATGCTGTTCGCTATCAGTTTTTATATTTCTAATAGAGTTTGTTCATGGCTTTTTTTTTTCTCGATAATTTTATTAGCTAAGGACTGTTGGTTTTAGCAAATGTATTATAGGAGTCGAAAAAAAAAAAAAAGACTTAGTCCTTAAAAGAATTCTTTCAAATTTTAAAGATATGTAATCATTTACAATAAACAACAATCTGCTCTGATATTCGTGAATACTTTTAATACAGATAATACTTAAGTAAGTCCACCATGAACCATTTATAAATAACTAATGTTTACGCAGAATGCTATAAAAATAAGTAAATTGTTGACAACAATGTTTAATACTGACCATTTATACACAGTTGACTATGCTTTTGTATTTACTTTGTCAGAATTATATAGTGATTGTTTTACATGTAGGTATTTGTTATAAGTTCTTTTTTCATGAAAGTAACATTTATTTGATGGAGAAATTACTTTAGAAATAAGCTTTAAAAATTATATTATTATGTTCCATTATAGGGTATGGCTTGTTGTGATATGGATGTATGAAATGGTTGCTTGCAAACATCTTCTGCTTGTGCATATGTGTTTCTTGTATATATCACGAATAAAGACCTATTTTCTGTACATTGTCTGATATTAGTTAATTTTTGACACATATTTACAGGTGGTTAGATTAAAGGATGAAGAATTAAGTAAAATGCAACAGAAAGTGGTAAGTTAAAGTCTCTTTTTATCCTTTTTCTGTATTTCAATTAAATTATGTACTATTATTGTACTTTATTCATTCTTTTTATGCCCCCGGGCATATAGTAATTGAACCGTCTGTCCGTACGAGGTTAACCTAAAACGGCAAGTTGGATTTTTCTTAAGTTCTACCTGTACCAATGGCTTCTAAGTTTACACACTTACTAATCAATACAAAGTACATGATCTGGGCAAGTTTCATAACTCTGGCTTTCATATTTACCAAGTTATTGCCCTTTTCAGCACTTAGAAAATGAATAGTGGTTAACCTAAAACGGCAAGTTGGAAATATCTTAAGTTCTATCTATACTAATGGCTTTATAATTTCCACACTTACTTATCAATACAAAGCACATGATATTGCCAAGTTATATAACTGTGTCATCCATATTTCCCAGTTATTTCCCTTTTTTCACTTTGAAAATAGGGCCTTGTCTGGTTAACCTATTTCGGCAAGTTGGATTTATCTAAATTTCTCCTAATTGCTTAATTTCTTTAATGATATCTTTCATATTTAGTAGGTGGATACCTTTGATGGTCCTCTAATTTTTTTTGGAGTAAGCGGTCTCTAGGGTCAAGGTCAAGGTCACTGGTTTAAAAAATAAATATAAACCTTTTTGCTCATACAGCCTTTATTTTTTAGTTGATGTCTTAGTTTAATACAAACACCTCCTTCTTTGGGTGTAGTATGGGGTCATTTGGGTCAAGGTCAATGTCACCAATGTCAAGGTCACCAATGTTAAAAATAATTTTTAGCTCGACTTTTCTATGAAAAGGGGAGCTATCCTACTCGCCCCGGCGTCGGCGTCGGCGTCGGCGTTAGCGTTGGCGTCACACCTTGGTTAAGTTTTTCGTACCACCCCACTTTATTTCAGAAGTATTACAAGTATGGCTTTGAAACTTACCATACTTGTTCACCATCATAACCTCCATCTACAGACAAGAGTACATAACTCTGTCAAGGTTTTTGACAGAATTATGGCCCTTTTTTGACTTAGAAAGTGTATTGAGCTTGGTTAAGTTTTTTGTACCACCTCACTTTATTTCAAAACCATTGGAGGTATTGCTTTGAAACTGACCATACTTGTTTACCATCACGACCTTCATCAACAGACAAGAGGACATAACTCTGTCAAGGTTTTTGACAGAATTATGCCCCTTTTTGACTTAGAAAATACATTGAATATGGGTAAAATCCACTTATTGCCTTAACCCTTTGAGATATTGCTTTGAAAACTTTTAATGCTATTTCACATCATTACCCCCATCTGTACGCAAGAGAAGGTAACTCTGTCAAGGATTTGTTTTAAAAATTAAGGCCTTTTATCGACTTAGAATCTTGGTTAAGTTTTTAGTACCAGTCCACTTTTTGACTGAACTGTTTGAGATATTAATTTGAAAGTTGGAATACTTGTTTACAATCATGATTCCCAAACATGTCCAGGAGAAGGTAATTCTGTCAAAGATTTTATTTGAATTATGGCCCTTAACTGTCAATGTTTTGTATTATAGGCAAGCACTAAAAAAGTCGAGCGCGCTGTCTTACGGACAGCTCTTGTTTACAGGTGTATTGACCTTATTCTATAGACAGATGTTATTTATAATTGATAGAAGCATAAACTTTGATGGAGATAGTGGTCAGTTGGGTCAAGGTCACCAGTGCTAAAAATAGATTTTTAGCTCGACTTTTCTATGAAAAGGGGAGCTATCCTACTCGCCCCGGCGTCGGCGTCGGCGTCGGCGTCACACCTTGGTTAAGTTTTTCGTACCACCCCACTTTATTTCAGAAGTATTACAAGTATGGCTTTGAAACTTACCATACTTGTTCACCATCATAACCTCCATCTACAGACAAGAGTACATAACTCTGTCAAGGTTTTTGACAGAATTATGGCCCTTTTTTGACTTAGAAAGTGTATTGAGCTTGGTTAAGTTTTTTGTACCACCTCACTTTATTTCAAAACCATTGGAGGTATTGCTTTGAAACTGACCATACTTGTTTACCATCACGACCTTCATCAACAGACAAGAGGACATAACTCTGTCAAGGTTTTTGACAGAATTATGCCCCTTTTTGACTTAGAAAATACATTGAATATGGGTAAAATCCACTTATTGCCTTAACCCTTTGAGATATTGCTTTGAAACTTTTAATGCTATTTCACATCATTACCCCCATCTGTACGCAAGAGAAGGTAACTCTGTCAAGGATTTGTTTTAAAAATTAAGGCCTTTTATCGACTTAGAATCTTGGTTAAGTTTTTAGTACCAGTCCACTTTTTGACTGAACTGTTTGAGATATTAATTTGAAAGTTGGAATACTTGTTTACAATCATGATTCCCAAACATGTCCAGGAGAAGGTAATTCTGTCAAAGATTTTATTTGAATTATGGCCCTTAACTGTTCTGAGTGACGTAAAAATACCTTATTCTCTCAAAGTGGGTTTAATACTATTAAATTTATTTAAGGCTCAACTCAGTTTTTTTTTCTTTCTTACCAGCCCTCTTTTGACTTAAACATTTCAAACTTTGCTGCAGTGTTCAAGGGTATCACACAATTCAGTAAAATAATTCTTCACTAAATATCTTAATGCTCATGGCCATTGTTCACTTTAAAAATACAGAGATTCTTGTATTGCCTTTTACTGCAAAAACTTTTTTTATTGGCAAGCAATAAAAAAGTCGAGCGCGCTGTCTTACGGACAGCTCTTGTTACACATTTGCTCATACAGCCTTTATTAAGTGACCGATTTATTTTATATTTGGTAGGAAGATAACTTGCATGGTATTCATCCTTTTGATTGGGGTAGGGATCAGTGGGTCAAGGTCACTTGTGCTAAAAATAGATTTTTACACTTTTGCCCATACAGCTTTTATTTATTGACAGTTGTATTTCATATTTGGTAGGAAGATAACTTGCATGGTATTCTTCCTTTGGATGGAGTAAGGCATCAGTTGGGTCAAGGTCACAAGTGCTAAAAATAGATTTTTACACTTTTGCCCATACAGCCTTTATTTATTGACAGATGTATTTCATATTTGGTAGGAAGATAACTTACATGGTATTCTTCTTTTGGATAGAGTTAGGGGTCAGTTTGGTCAAGGTCACCAGTGCTCAAAATAGATTTTTTACACTTTTGCCCATACAGCCTTTATTTAATGACAGATGTATTTCATATTTGGTAGGAATCTAACTTGCATGAAGTTAAATATTTTTCAACTTCACAAGTCAGAGCAATGCCTTGGCAACTTATATTTTTCAAAATTACAGAATGCCATGACTTGGTCAAGCTATAAAACTTGTGTTTACAATTTTTTGGCGATTTTTCTGTCCATAACTGAGTGAATGGGTAAACATTTTTTGAAGTATTGCTACTGACAAGAATCTGAGCCGGGGGCATTTGTGTTTAACAAACACGTTCTTGTTTCTTCTTAATTTGTTAATATACATGTATATTTATTCATTCTTTTTTAGCTCACCTGTCACAAAGTGACAGGGTGAGCTTTTGTGATTGCTTTTCGTCCGGCGTCCGTCCGTCCGGCGTCCGTCCGTCCGTAAACTTTTACTTTAAATGGCATCTCCTCATAAACCACTAAGCCAATTTCATCCAAACTTCACAGGAATGTTCCTTTGGTGGTCACCTTTAAAAATTGTTCAAAGAATTTAATTCCATGCAGAACTCTGGTTGCCATGGCAACCGAAAGAAAAAACTTTAAATATCTTCTTTTAAAAAACCATAAGAGCTAGAGCTTAGATATTTGGCATGAAACATCTTCTAGTGAGTGTCTACCAAGTTTATTCAAATTAAAGCCCTGGGGTCAAAATTGGCCCCGCCCCAGGGGGTCATTGATTTTCCCTATATGCATATAGTAAAAACTTAAAAAATCTTCTTTTAAAGAACCCAAAGAGCTAGAGCTAAGATATTTAGCATGAAACATGTTGTAATGGGTGTCTACCAAGTTTGTTCAAATAAAAGCCCTGGGGTCAAAATTGGTCCCGCCTCGGGGGGGTCATTGATTTTCCCTATATGCATATAGTAAAAACTTAAAAAATCTTCTTTTAAAGAACTCAAAGAGCTATGGCTAAGATATTGAGCATCAAACATGTTCTAATAGGTGTCTACCAAGTTTGTTCAAATAAAAGCCCTGGGGTCAAAATTGCCCCGCCCCAGGGGGTCATTGATTTTCCCTATATGCATATAGTAAAAACTTAAAAAAATCTTCTTTTAAAGAACCAAAAGAGTTAGAGCTAAGATATGTAGCATGAAACATGTTCTTATAAGTGTCTACCAAGTTTGTTCAAATAAAAGCCCTGGGGTCAAAATTGGCCCCGCCCCGGGGGGTCATTGATTTTCCCTATATGCATTTAGTAAAAACTTAAAAAATCTTCTTTTAAAGAACTCAAAGAGCTATGGCTAAGATATTTAGCATCAAACATGTTCTAATAGGTGTCTACCAAGTTTGTTCAAATAAAAGCCCTGGGGTCAAAATTGGCACCGCCCCGGGGGTCATTGATTTTCCTTATATGTGTATAGCAAAAACTTAAAAAATCTTCTTTGAAAAAACCCAAATAGCTAGAGTTAAGATATTAAGCATGAAACATCTTTTAGTGAGTGTTTACAAAGTTTGTTCAAATAAAAGACCTGGGGTCAAAATTGGCCCGCCCCAGGGGGTCATTGATTTTCTTTATATGTGTATAGCAAAAACTTAAAATCTTCTTTGAAAAAACCCAAATAGCTAGAGTTTAGATATTAAGCATGAAACATCTTCTAGTAAGTGTCTACCAAGTTTGTTCAAATAAAAGCCCTGGGGTCAAAATTGGTCCCGCCTCGGGGGGGTCATTGATTTTCCCTATATGCATATAGTAAAAACTTAAAAAATCTTCTTTTAAAGAACTCAAAGAGCTATGGCTAAGATATTGAGCATCAAACATGTTCTAATAGGTGTCTACCAAGTTTGTTCAAATAAAAGCCCTGGGGTCAAAATTGCCCCGCCCCAGGGGGTCATTGATTTTCCCTATATGCATATAGTAAAAACTTAAAAAAATCTTCTTTTAAAGAACCAAAAGAGTTAGAGCTAAGATATGTAGCATGAAACATGTTCTTATAAGTGTCTACCAAGTTTGTTCAAATAAAAGCCCTGGGGTCAAAATTGGCCCCGCCCCGGGGGGTCATTTGATTTTCCCTATATGCATTTAGTAAAAACTTAAAAAATCTTCTTTTAAAGAACTCAAAGAGCTATGGCTAAGATATTTAGCATCAAACATGTTTCTAATAGGTGTCTACCAAGTTTGTTCAAATAAAAGCCCTGGGGTCAAAATTGGCACCGCCCGGGGGTCATTGATTTTCCTTATATGTGTATAGCAAAAACTTAAAAAATCTTCTTTGAAAAAACCCAAATAGCTAGAGTTAAGATATTAAGCATGAAACATCTTTTAGTGAGTGTTTACAAAGTTTGTTCAAATAAAAGACCTGGGGTCAAAATTGGCCCGCCCCAGGGGGTCATTGATTTTCTTTATATGTGTATAGCAAAAACTTAAAATCTTCTTTGAAAAAACCCAAATAGCTAGAGTTTAGATATTAAGCATGAAACATCTTCTAGTAAGTGTCTACAAAGTTTGTTCAAATAAAAGCCCTGGGGTCAAAACTGGCCCGGCCCGAGGGGTGTCATTGTTTTTAACTATATGTGTATAGTAAAAACTTTAAAAAAATCTTCTTTTAAAAAGCCCAATGAGCTAGAGCTTAGATGTTTAGCATGAAACATCTTCTTATGAGTGTCTACCAAGTTTGTGCAAATAAAAGCCCTTGGGTTAAAATGGCCCTGCAACGTTGGGGGTTGGGGGGCCTATATACAGGTGAGCGACCTCAGGGCCATCATGGCCCTCTTGTTTTCTTAATTTATATATATAAATGTACATCTAAAAGGAGTTCTTAATATTTTTATATATAATGCAGAATGTGTCTCTTGTTATCTTGAATTTTAAGCTAAATGCTTTTTTGCTTAAATATTTGAATAACTCAACCTTAACCTTTTACAGAGTTAAGCCCCTTTCCTTACTATCAGGCACTGAGAATAGTTGAGCATGCTGTCTTCACAGCTCTTGTTTTACTTCAAACATTGAATGCAGACTACATGTTAAGAATATATTGTGAATGGTATTTATTACAGATGGAGCTGTCCATGTCAGCAAGTACAAGGTCTTTAGTCCAAGATAAGGTTTCTATTACAAGGTATGCTCAGTATTGTTCTTTCTCTGTAGATTCAGTATAAATTTCCTCGATATACTCACTAATGTGATATTATTATTGAATTTTGAACTTGATTGTAAATGTGATTAGAAAAAAGCTAAAATTTGAATTTTAAGTATAGCAGATTTTATGTAATTATATCACTTAATACTTATAATCTTTGCATTGTTACCATATAAATACTCTTGGAAATATAAAGTGAATGAAGAAGATAATTCCATCATTTCATATGACAAATATAATGTATATATTTTGTTTACAGTTGTCATGTAGGAGATCTTGTGTTGCTATGTCTAGATGAACGACTCGACCAGTATGTTGTATTCACTGTTGGTACAACTTTACATTTTCTTCATACTGACTGTTTGTCACCATTAGGTCTTAAATCAGGTAAGACTTTACATTGTTTTATCATGTAATGATGTAGAGATTTCAAAAATGAATTATGTCAGCAGAAAGTTGCCTGTCAGGAAGATATTGAAATGTTCAATTCTCATAGAGCCTAAAGCATGGGTCACTTTTTCATTCTTCCTTTATTGGCTGACATAACTGTACTAACACTTAGTTAGATGTCACTGCCTCTCAGCAACCCAGGGTTTTTATGTTTGAGCCTTACTTAAACCACTATTATGTTTCCTGGCATGACATCAATACTGGTTACTTGCAGGAAGTAGACTTGAAAGGAGATGTAATTAAGCTCTTGCAACTTAAGTTTATTATGTTTTACATGTACTTAGATTAAGTTATTTAATTTATGCACCAATTACATTTTCATGTGGGTCTGTAGATTTCTGTATAGTCTACACATTTTAGGTATCACTGTTTTTGGGATGAAAGAAAAAATATTGGAATATGTGTTTAAAGAAAAGCAACTTTTGTAAATGTACAGTCCTGTCAGTAATAAATTTGTTTTATTATATGTAGAAGGTGGTGAATGTAAGAAACAATGGCTGATTGCTGAAGTCATAGATAAAGAATATTGTCAAGCTAAAAAGGTATTTTATGCTTTAATATTGATAGTTTTTATAAATGTTAAAGGTGTCTAATTGCATTACATGTATGTGTTTTGGCAGAATTATTAATTTTGCTGATACAGATTGACTTGCCCAATTGGTAGTTTCAATACATCACGAGTACAGTGGTATTATTTACATAACAATCTGTACTTGAAGTATACATAAATAAAAAAAGAAAGTTGTCATTTGACCTACTCTGAATATGTATGACACATAAGAATGAATGTTTGCAGACATGTACATGTTCGCAATTTTATAAGAATGGCTCTTTATAGCATCTCATTGATGATTTGATAAATGTAAAAAAATAAACTTTAATTTATCATATTGATATACAATGTATCACTTCAAGAACATTTTTCAACATTATAAATGTCTGACATTTTCTTATTTCATTGAAGTTTTTTTTATATAGTAAAGTATTTACCAAAGCTATGTGTGGATTCATAATGTATATTAACAGGGGTTTTTTGCTCTCTTATTAGTCCCCTACCGGTTTACTAGAGGGGACTTTAGGTTTACCCTCCGTCCGTCTGTCCGTCCGTCTGTCTGTCCGTCAGTCCGTCCGTCCACAAAACTGGATCCTGCGATAACGCAAAAAGTACTGAAAATATTTTAATGAAACTTGATATATGGATAGATGGCAGTATGGAGATTATGCACGTCTTTTTCTTTTCTTCCTATGTTGAAAATTGTGGTTGCTATGGCAACAAATAGACTGAAAATATGGCAAATTTTACACATAACCTGGATCCGCGATAACGCAAAAAAGTACTGAAAATATTTTTATAAAACTTTATATGGATAGATGGCAGTATGGAGATAATGCACGTCTTTTTTGTTCTTCCTATGTTAAAAAGTCTGGTTGCTATGGCAACAAATAGACTGTAAATATGTCAAATTGTACACATAAACTTGATTCCAGTGATAACGCAAAAAGTACTGAAAATATTTTTATGAAACTTGACATAAGGGTAGATGGCAGTATGGAAATTATGCACATCCTTTTCTTATCTTCCTATGTTGAAAATTCTGGTTGCTATGGCAACAAATAGACTGAATTTCAAGATTTCTGATTCTAGTTTTTAAGTTTTTTCACTATAAGTTCTTTATTTCTTAAGGTATTTTCTTCAAACTTTAAATATAAATTGCTAGTCATCAACCACATCATATGTGACAAGGTTTACAACTCTAGCACAAAATTTATCAGAATTACCTCCCTTGAACTTAAAATTTTCATGAAAAAAACATTGTTTTTTTTAATAACTTCTTTTTTTCTGAATGTTTCTTCTTCAAACTTCATATAAATGTTTTTTATTAACACTCAACATTTTTGAGTGTTCAATACTCTAGCTAGACTATTTCCAGAATTATGCCCCTTTTGAACTTAGACTTTTTTTTTGAGAAATTGGTAATTTTTACTCCAACTTCTTCAATCATGATAGGATTTTCTTCAAACTCCCACATCATAATAATATGACAAGATTTATAAATCTAGCATCCATATTTCCAGAATTAACTCCTCCTTAAACTTTTAATTTTTCTTATTCGTTCTTTTAACTTTCATTTACTTCAAATTCAAAATAAACATTCAATATTCATACCTTCATTACTAATTGTTCTTTGTTACACTCACATCATGTATGACATCGTTATCTTCTTTTTAAAAATTTTGCTTTTAAAAATGTTATATTTTGATAACAGGGATGTTTAAAAAATAACTTTAGAGTGTCCTTAAGTCCGTCTGTCTGTACATAAAAACTGTTTCCTGTGATCACTTTTATAGAACTTTTTCAACAAATTTACTTAAAATAGAAGCATAAGTGAATGGCCAATGGCCCTTCAGAATGTTGCTTGGGCTCTTACCGGTAGGGGACTTATGGATTGCTTGCAATACTATGACAATTGCTTGTTTTTGTTTTGTTTTGGGGTTTTATATGGAAAAATGTAAATGTTTAAGTAGATATTGCATTTTCATGATATCAAATGTCAAGTTTTTCTTCTCTAACAGTCAAACAACAGATTCAAAGTACCAGTCGGCACCAAGTTTTACAGAGTTAAAGCTAAACGCTGGACAAGAGAAGGTAACCAGTCTCCAGTGAAAAAATCTGATACTGCATCAGGCTCTTCATGACATTCCTTATAATAGACAACACAGTCTGGTGTATGAATTTCATGTTGTAAACCACTCTGAGTTTGCTTCCTTGCCATTGGTCAGATTTAAATGTGTGCTAAGAAACAACCAACCAGATCATGAACTTTTTAATCTGGTGCCCTGTCACAAACCGCTTTATAATTATATAATAAGCCTAGAAAATTTTGTTAAGTTGAAACCTCCATTCCTGAAACAGTTCTTTGTTAATCAAATTGTTTTGAATCCATTGCATTTTTCAAGTCATATTTATTTCAAATTAGTTTTTTTGTGTACAGCTTTGTTTCATTTTTTAGCTCGACTTTTCGATAAGAATAAGTAGAGCTAATGTAGTCACCCGAGCGTCGGCGTAACCACGTATGTTAAAGTTTTTGTAATACTGTATAAGTGGTTTTTTCTGCGGGCTCCAAATTCTGCGTTTTTTTCAAATTTTGGCATGTTTTTATTTCTGCGGATTTTATTTCTGCGACGCATCTTTTGGACAAAACGTGATTTTAATTCTGCGGCTCATCTTATCAAAGTCTAAGTCACATTACTCTACCTATTTTATTTGCATGTACACATTTGCATAAAAATTTTGTTTATCGTCGTCACTGCAAAACTATATAGTAATTACAAACAATTATATTGTTAGTAATTACAAACAATTATATTGATTGCTTGCAAACAAATATAATGCGCAACAATAGACAGTATGCATCTTTTGTTCAGCATGAAATGATGTGTGAAAAATATACCCTGGAAGTATCTTTGATTTAATAAAATTGATAAAAGTTTTTCGTAAATCAAACAACAATTAATGCATACGACGATTATTTAGCAGTGTAAGGATTAAAATGGTTTTAATGATATAGTGGTAAACAAACCTTTTAGCGTACAGGCAAACACTATGATGTTTAAATATCTTTATTCATAAATTGGCATAATTAGCAATAGGTACATTCTTACAAGCACATATAACATACTTGGCTTAAAGCAATTTTATATAACTCGATGACCCGCTAACCGTTATAATCCGTTAGTCGTTATTACTTTGGAGAAAACAGGTCATAATGTAGGACACAAATCGTTAAAAAACCTGGAGAAATATTCTGCGGTTTTTATTTCTGCAGTGCTGAAACTGACCGCAGAAAACGCAGAAATAAAGTCACCGCAGAAAAAACCACTTATACGGTACCTCAAATATTTTCAAAGTCCATTGACATATGGCTTTGAAACTTTGCACACTTGTTCACCATCATGACCCAAACCTGTAGACAGGAGGAGGTAACTCTATCAAGCATTTTTGACAGAATTATGCCCCTTTTTCGACTTAGAATTTACGTTAAAGTTTTTGTAATACCTCAAATATTTTCAAAGTCTATTGACATATGGCTTTGAAACTTTGCACACTTGTTCACCATCATGACCCCAACCTGTAGAAAGGAGGAGCTAACTCTATCAAGCATTTTGACAAATTTATGCCCCTTTTTCGACTTAGAAATTTACCTTACAGTTTTTGTAATACCTCAAATATTTTCAAAGTCCATTGACATATGGCTTTGAAACTTTGCACACTTGTTCACCATCATGACCCCAACCTGTAAACAGGAGGAGGTATCTCTATCAAGCATTTTGACAGAATTATGCCCCTTTGTCGACTTAGAATTTACGTTAAAGTTTTTGTAATACCTGAAATATTTTCAAAGTTCATAAGGCTTTGAAACATGTTTGAATTTTATACTCTTCTTTGACAGCATAATAGGACTCTCTCCAATGCCTATAACTGTAATATGGATTTAAAGAAAAAGTTTGCCTTTTTCTTTACTGAGAAAATTTTACCTTTTAATCAAGGCTTTTTTTACTATCAAGCACTAAGAATAGTCAAGCGTTGCTGTCCTACCGACAGCTCTTATTTAATAGATTATATTTCAGATCTGGATGATATCGTTTTAGACTCGCATACTTTGTAAATTGCAACAAAAGACCTAAAATGAATTGCCAAATTTTTTTAAATTTATGAATGTATTTATAAATTGATGAAAGAACAAGTAGTTTTTGATGTTCAATCTAAAATGTGTAAAACAGACCGTTTCCAACTTTTCTCTGCAATATTGTGGACCTTTTATGTTGTTAAAGGTCGGATAGAATGTGCATTTGTTTTGAGGCTTTTGATATACACAAGTAAATTGTTAAATGAATTCATAAAGTGTACTGTAATATGAGCTTATGTATGTGTTAAAATTGACTGTAAATTGATATATTTTGATAAATGAGTTCACACATTGAGACATTTCATACATAAACTTTGAGCATTGAAAGCCGCTTGAACTTTTGACTGTTCTTCTGTACGCTATTACTGTCAGTAAAGCATCCTACTAAACATTCATGAGTGTAAAGTGGTGAATATGACCCAGTTCAAAGTAAGGTCAGCAATGCTTTTACTTGGATAAATTAAGATACTAGTAACTTGGTCACTTACTGTTATCAATTATCAATTGTGGAAGAGGTGGGTTGACCAGAAGTATTGTTGCTCATGACCATGTAATCTTTATGTTCATTTTTGATAAGTCAAGCTGGATTCATTACCTTAAGATTACCGTAAGATTTTTTGTATTCTTGATTTGAAAGCAAAGAATGATTAAATTATACTGTATGACACTCTGTAATAAATGTACACTACATGTTTTACCTTGTTTAAAATACTAACCATACAGCTAGATGTGATTGTGTGAAAGATTTTTTAACAATTTTATGAAAGCACACTTGTCTGGTATTTGACCAAATATTTATAAGATAATTAATGAATTATTTATATCAACTGAAATAATTTATTGTTTATAATACTATGATTGATTGAGTGAGATTATTTATTTATTAAACAACATTGTTAATGCTATATTTATCTTTTTCAAGGGTTCTATGCCATGAATTTTTGACAGTTAATCTAATATCATTTGTCATTTTATGTAAAGAACAAATACTTCTATTGCTTGTATTGGCTACTTCATCAACATACGTGTATTTGACTAAAATTACAAATATTGCCGGTGATTATATGTTTAAAACTTCCAGATTTATATATGTTAAATACTAGATGCATCATATGTAAACTTTTGTGTATATGTGAAGACATGTAGGAACAATATAAGGACAAAACTTGTCATCTAGCCTTATTTGTGACTGATAGAGACATGAGCTGTAATTATTTACATTGTATGCAACTTTTGAACTAATAGATACCATTATTTGTAAATCATTATATGTTAATAAGTAAAAAATTACTGAAATATTGAATATATGAATTCCCAAATGTGAAATGGATTTCAGCTGTCGTACAGATTGTGACTATACATCACAAATACACAAGCAAGTGTTTCTATGTACAGTTAATGTAGATATGTCCTTATTATTATAGTAAACAACATGTGAGTTAGCTTTTAATCTACATGTCGATTATCAATTTAAGAGACATTGATTATGATATAAAAATATAAAGTTGTTTGACCAACAGTATAGAGTCTGGTCAGACTGCATAAATGTGCACACTAGCCTGGCTCTAGTAGGATGGCAAGGGATAATCACTTACAGCAGATTGAGGGTTTAGGTTAAGATTAATGATGGGGAAAAAATCATATATGCTTGCTACAAAATGATTGAATTGAAGCCAGTTCATATCAGTTATGATGTTTGTGTTTGTAACATTTTACATTTTTATCAACCTAGTACTAATATACATTTATTGTACTTTGTATATAATAACTTATTTGACTGTGTATAATAATATCAATGTCATAAATAGTCCTAACATTCTGTTCTCTTGTATTGTAACTTAAATAAGAGATTCCAATTTGAAACTGTAACTCTGTTATTTATAGCACATCATGGCAAGGTCTTTAAATCTACTTAGATCTTAAATCCTTACAGGTAAATGTAGTACATGTATGTATTTATAAAAGATGTTAGCTATATGATGTATGGTTACTTTGAAATGTTCAGTAAAATTGTTCACTTGTTTGTTAATTGGTACGATTTTCAAGTTGAAAACAGTTATTATAATAAGAACATCATATGTAATAACTATACATATATAACTTAAGTTTAATATTTGTATACATAAAGTATGCTCATCTTAAAATGTACATTGAACTTTATTGAATGAAAAACAACTCATTTTTGGTTCAGCAATTTAAGATACTGTCCTGACATTGGAAGGTCTTTGAAATGTTTATAATTATCCTAAAAAAAACTTTCTGTAAGTCTTGACATAGGGAAAAACCTTTAAAAAGCAGACCCTGGTGAAATCTATTAACTGGTATTCTGCCTGTACCATTATATTTGTGTTTTTAAATCAGATTTTTTTGTAGTGTGGAGAAACAGACAGAATGACATTGTCTGTATTTAGAATTGTTTTCATCACATTGATGAACATTTGAATTTTTTCACCTTTAATATCGAAGCGGGACACCTTCAAGTTAATGTTTATTGTTATGAAAATACAGAACTTGTATTAATCTATAACGATTACATACCTTAATCTAGCCAAATGCACTTACTGTCCTCCGTAATTATATATTTAAAGCCTGTGTAATTGTAATAGTTGATGACTGCATACTTGGGGTGTTTTTATTGTTTGTGGTTATGATATAGTAGGTTAATGTTTTGAAAGTCTTTCAAAGAGCTATGATTGTTTTGTATGTTGTAACATTGATTCATTTTGTTGATTTATACACATCCTGATGATTGTACAATAAAAAAAAATGGCAACAAAAATCCAACGTTTCATGTTATATTTGTTCTATATAGGTTGTTTTACATGTTCAAGACTCCCAATAGAACAGAATTTTCAGCATGTACCGTCTGACTAGGTCTAAATTTGATGCATTTACTAAGCATGTCAATATTATCATTATCCGTATAATTCAGTTACTTAAAAGGACATTTTTAAATGACATTTTTAATCAATATGTTACAACAATTTAAGTAGACCTTCTTGCAAAGTCTAGGACCCCAGCAGGTGTTTGACTCAATAAAAGATAGATAGAATTTAAACTGTTATTTTGATGAATTACCACCTATACATTACATGATGAATGGAATGGTAATTTATAATACTGGATATCAGTCAAGGTTTTATAGTGAATGTTCTGTGATAACTATTATAGTATATGCATTTGAAAGAAAAAAAATGTTGACGTCAGTCACATTGACAATTTACAATATACCTTTAAAAGATATAAAGGTATATCTAATGACATATTTTTATAACAATTATTATTGGTAAAATTATGTTATTTTTATAACTTTTAGGTAAATTCTCGTAGGACTTGTAACATAGGATGTTTTCTTATAGAACTTATCTTGGTCTTCACTTGTTACATCATAGAACAAACCACCATTAGTAGGCTATACGTAACGTAATTGCTACAATACTTAATGTAATGTAACATGTCCCACTGTTCCTTTTCATGCCTTTGTTAGACATATTTACTTGTATATTATGTTAAATTATTTAAAAAGCAAGATGAAAGTGCAAAAGATTTTATTTTACATGTATTAGTAAAACATCAACAATATTCAACAAAAGAATGGCAAAATGTTATAAAAAAAAAATAACATTTCATCATGCTTTGGTGAAAAATATTTACAAGTAAAAAGTATATAAATGATATGTATTTTAAAAAGCATTGTAAATCTATACTGTTAGTTGACCTTGCAATCTGATTGTAATATCACAATTATTTTTATAGTAAGAATAAACAGGGAAATTGATATGAATAAAGGAATTGAGATATAAAATGCATATGATCACAAATTTAAAACAATAAAACTTCATAAAAAATATATTTGAAATGTAAATAGATACAGTTTTGTGGGGTATAAAGTACATGACAGTATGTGAAATACCTTAGAAAAATGTCTCCAGGTGATGAAAAATAAAGTAAATATAATGTGCTGTCGTTGGACTGAACCACTTTGTTTTGTTTTAGAGATGAGGAAGAATGACTTTTTTATAAGGCTTAACAACTTAGCATCACAAGGTGAGAGAAACAATATCAAACATTTAAAACAATATCACAACAAATCTTGATGATGCCAGGATATTCTGTAATGGAACACTTTTATTTTTACAAATAGTCGAGGCAAAACTAAAATGTAATCAACAATGTTTTGTTTTACGTCCACTGTTTGAATATTTCTTCATCCTTTTTACTGTCAAACTTGGGAACAAAAGAAATTTGGATAATCTCAGTAAATCCCTCCGCTTTTGTTGGAGCTTCAAAGTTTTTCTTATAAACATTGTAGCCTACATCTGGAATCCGTCGAACACCGCCTTTTGTCTGGTTTTGCCGGACATAATTGAGATGATGGGCAAGGTCAATGGGAGTGTCCATCACAAAACACCGACAGAGTACACCTGAAATATGTTTAAATGTTTTTTTCCTCAGGCATAATTTATAATAACATATAATATTATAAGTTTCTCATATGGTATCACACTGTTATACGGCAGTAATACCACTTAAAAGCATACACATGTACATTATTCATGGGTCTGTATTATTTAAACAATTTGCCATTACCTGATAATGACCTGATTTATTATAATACATAGCTTAACTACTGGTGATAAATTTTAATCTATATAAAGAGAAATGCAATAGAAAACAGATATAAACTGTAATTTGCCAACAGGTGTTAAATAGAACACGCATTATTATGATATGGTTATCATTTGAAAAAAAGAGACCGCCTCCGTGGTCGAGGGGTTAGAGTCGATGACTTCTAATCCAGTCACCTCTCTGGCGTGGGTTCGATCCCCGGGAGATGCTTTGGTAGTTTAGCGCGGAGGAAGGTAGTCTAGTACTGGTGTAACTCTCCAGGAACGATGGTTAGGAAACTACCCGCCTATATGACTGAAATACTGTTGAAAAAGGCGTAAAATGAAACAAACAAACAAAATTTGAAAAAAAGATGAAATAAATTACCACTTTTCTTGGCACAATCGATGAATTCTTTCCTAGCTGCCTGTGTAGGGTTAGTATTGTCGGCAACAACACTCTTCCCTGTCTTCAGAGCCTCAGTAGCTGCCTGTAACCATAGTAACAAAAAGATAAAATCTAACGAAAGCAAATGATTGTAAATAGAGAATACTGAAAACAATCATCAGAATAAAGTTACTTTACTTTGGCACTGTACTGTAATCATTCCATATTTTTTATACCACAAATATACAGAAATATGTACCTTCACACATTTCTGCATGGTTCCCATGGTGTCTCTGTTGACAGCTATATAACCATGAGGTTCAAAATAACGTTTTCTGAATGTACTCTTTCCTGTTGCTGGTGCTCCTACCATAATTACCATCTCTGGTGACTGTAAAATAAAGTCATTACAAGATCAATGTCTGGTTTTATTAATGAAATCGTTAATCCTTATATACTCCCTAATTTTAAATATCACCATAAACTGAATTGGCAGTAGTTTATAAAGTGACTGTATAGATTTTTTTTTACTAAAATAGCATGTTTTCCTAAGGTGTTTAGTGTACATATATTATATCTTATGTTATATGAATGCATAGATGAGATGGACATTTAGCATATGTAGTACAACTAAAGCTTCTACAAAAATTTTCTTCCACATATTAAGTTCAAAAACGTCACATATCGTCTCTGTGTGTACTCAAAAGAGACATTTTAGCAATTATCACAGTATTTTCTATATCAAATTTTAGCATAATACATTGTTTATTGTAAATGATCATCTAGTCATCTCTTCAACCTGAAGCTTATTAACAGTGGTTATGAACAGGAGGTGACATACCTATATTTGTATAAAACTTGGTATTTATTTTACTTACTTTACTGTGGTATTCTTTACTTGCTACATCTGCCTTTTTCAAGACAGTGTTTGGATCAACTGACTGCCATGCAAATTTCGCTGGATCCTCTCCAAGGAAAAATTCTTCAGGGGTTTGAAACTCTGAAAATATATATTTTTGTTCTTTGTGTAACATAACATTTACATAGGGGATGTTGGGTTTTCTTGAATATCTAAATTACGTATGTCAAATATCTGGCTATAAAAGTTCTAATTTGAAATACTGTATTGAGGTATAGAGGGCATTTTCTGCCATTGAAATTAAAGATAGCAACTGAACAGTTTTTAACTAGTTTGTCTGCGTAACAGCACATACTTCTCCAAAAACAGTACAACTACATAAAGCATCTATAAAACTTACTAACTCCAAGGTTGGCAGCAAACTTTCTGTCACTACAAGAAAAATCTTTTGGTTTTCCTGGTGCCCACTCCTTGGCTCTCCCAGCAGCATCTCCAACATACAAACATTTAGTCCTATCAACCTGAAAATGACGTTAAATAATTGAGCCGCGTCACGACAAAGCCAACATAATGTGTTTGCGACAAGCGCAGTCTGATCAGGATTCATCCTGTTCGCTATCAGTTTCTCAACTTGTAATAGAGTTGGTAAGCGAACAGTATGGATCTGATCAGACTGCGCGGGCGCAGGCTGGTCTGGATCTATGCCGGTCGCAAACCCATTATGCTGGTTTTGTCATGACGCGGCTCATATATGGTTTTCAAAAATCCGGAATATGAAAACATGTCATATGGTGTCAGTTTTTACGAGTTTCAAATTGTTTCGGAATTGTATAATGACACCTTAATAAACTATAGGATTTCAGTGACATAGAGCACTTTAACTAATGACATTTTAAGGCATATAGTTCAGACAATGCTGCAGCAATTCGTATATCATGTGTACATGTTGGAGGGAATTTTTTAGAGCTTTATTGATTTTAGGTACCTTTACTCCTTGGTTACATTTTGTCTCCCAGTATTCCCACATCAAAGTACTTGGTTTTCTGTAATGATTCTCCCCGGTGCATACGAACGCCTGAAAAAAAGGCGGGAAATTATCTTTAATACCAGTTTTTGTTTACTTTTATTTCTATACAATGAGGAAGGGTACACATTTTCTTTAAAATCAGCTAAAAATGAAGCTATGGGTTTAAGATAACTCATCAGGTTTCTTTTGTAAAGATATGGAAAGATAAACGCACTATTTTCAAGAACGTTTATATGAGTCGCACGAGTGAAATTAAGAAATTTATGATTTAGTTATCAAGTTTTCTTCCCATTCGGAAGATTTAGCGAGACCCTGTTTGAATAAATTCGATCTAGTATTATAATAGCATATCGAATATAATCTCTATATACATTAATCTTTATGAAATAGAACGACCCGGAGAAACCGGTATGTAGTACATTTACGTCTACTTTTTAATTCATACCAATATTTTTCTTTATAAAAAAAACCACCGTCATGTTTTAATCAATAATTATAAGCAGGCAGGGTTATATATTTTATATGACTGAAATATGTAAGTAGACTTACTAAAACTGGTATATCTAACTCTTTGATAATAGCTTCAATTTTCCGCTGAAGTTCTTCTGGTTGGACTTTAAGTTTTTCTATTCCCGCTTGATTAGTAAAGAAAATCACCCTATATCCATCTTTATGAAGCTCTCTTATTTTATCTGGAACACTTTCATCCCACCATTCCCAGTCTGACGCCCCTGAAGATAATCATATAAAATGAATTAATAACAATAATGTCAGCACTATTATTTTATTGATTGGAATGCTAGAAAATATAACAATATTAATTATTATGATATTGCAATATAAAGACGCTTCTACGAATGTACATGTCCGTATAGTGTAAATATGGTACACAACATGTATTTATTTACTTGTGTACCTACTAATATAGTAATACATAAATAGAGATTCATTTTGCCACGCCCCTTTCTCAACATCTAAACGATTATTTAATACCTGTTGCGAATTTTCTCCCACTAGCAGTTTTAATCACAGTGAAATCGATATCGAAACCTGCGGCTTTCTGACTTCCCGGTAATGTTGGGGATGTAAGCGTTAACAGTGGACATACATTTTTCACAACTTCTCCATGATAATCCCACCTTAAACTGTCACTTAAATCCGTCTCCCCTTTAGCTCTTTTAGCTTTAACTTCTGCTTGTTCTGCAGCTTTACGCTTTAACCCTGCACGCCTAGCACTCATGTTTAGAACTGCTGATGTTCTCTTTATTTTCTTCTTTATTTATACACCTGATGCAGGTAAACCGGAAGTGATAATGTTTATATATATAAATCGAGCTAGACATGTTTAAACAGGTAAAACTGTACAGGTAGTCACCGATATAGTATCGATTTTCTACCGAGACATTCCGAAACTTTACGAAAGATAACGATACTTCTCTATACTATGGTGGCTATAGGGGCACTTTCAAATATTAATAAAATTCTTACAAAATGTTTCTGAAAAACAGAATGTTGATAGAGTTCTCAGGTGATTTAGTATATATATATACATAAATTCTAGAACAAAATATTATATATATGATGGATAATAATATTTTGTTCTAGAATTTATTATCTGCTATTTAAATATATGTTATATCCATAGATGATGCTTTCTTTTTAGTTATATCTACTATCAGCATAATTATTTATTGTATACCATTTATTGTATTCCAATGTAGGCTAATTCACTTTAAATAAGTGATAATTTCTACACCTTTTATATGAATGCTAATGTAGGTTTAGAAGTAAAATATGTATATGTTTTAAATATTCTTCTATAAACCTCATATTTACAAACAAAATAAAGTGTACAGACATGCATTTGCAATGTTTCACATAAAAATGTTCATACAATAATCTACCAGTACGTATTATTTTACATAAGTTCATGGTACGTTGGTTTATGTAGTTACATGTATGTTAATGGTATGTTTGATGGTTTTAAATAAAAGAATTTCTAAAGGGAAAAAATAAATCTTTTTTTTTGCTTACTTTTATCTCCCTACCAGTTTATCATTTTCAAATGATTTTAGCATTTCTTGCCAGTCATGTTCATAATATGAGGGAAATTATGACTACCTGCTCTTGAGTGTCTGTCAAACTTTAGCATGTGTGTAACGTATGCCTTACTATTGAACTCAACAGTTAGCTACAAGAAAGCGGGAAAAATAGTCAAAAGATCGACGACTTTGTACCTAATGTCTCGATACTGTTGGAAGCGATATAATGCGGAACTTATCTCAGACGTTTTATGTAAAATTGACAACGAGAAGAAGATGATTTTGAAACAAATTAAAAAAAAAAAAAAAAACGAACAGGAAAATGAACAATAGCGTCTGCTAAGCGGAACATTGCTGTCAATAACTATAAACTTAAGCAGGCTATTTGGGAGTCTCAACAAGAACATAACAAGTTTATTGATAAGGTGGAAAGTTTGCTTACTCTGGAAGTAAACCGGGTAGAAGAAGAGACTGAATGCGTTATTGCAGGAAAGACAAAGGTATTTGCACACTTTGACAATAGACTTGAAGCAACTATCCACAAAAATTACCAATATTGAAACGACAGATTTATCTATCTATCTTCCTTATAGTCGAACCCCTGCTGGTGACCTAGACTTGACGCGCGTCAACTGACAAGAATGTTAGTAAAAGAGCTGAAAAAAAAGAATATAAAAGTAATGGAAATGAGTATATTGTTAAAAACAGATTAAAAACAGAATAGGTATTAAAAACAGAATAGGTATTTTAGGGAGACGTATGTTCAGTCCGGCTTACAGCCAGACTGAACTCAGGGCCAGACAAGTTTATGATATCAGGTGGTAAAGCATTCCAGTAGACTATTGTTCTTGGGAAAAATGAATATTTATAGTAATCAGTTTTAGTTTGGACTTGCAGGAATGCATAGAGATTGGATGTTCTAGATGATCTTGTAAGAGGGATGATATACTGTACTTTGGGAAAGGGATAGCCACCTGGTCATGCAAGATGTTGTGAAACATGACCAGGCGTTGGTCAATACGCCAAAGGTCAAGGCACCTCCATTGAAGGCAAGTCAACATGTCAGTGACACTTGACATACGGCCGAAGTCATGTTTTGCCCACCTAGTAGCCCTATCTGGACGGACTTTATCTGGTCAATGAGAGTTCCTGTGAAGGGAGACCAGACCGTGGAGCTGTACTCGAGCTGGGGCCTGACAAGTGTCTTGTATGCGGTTGACTTTAACCTTTCTGAGTGAACTTTGATGTGTTTGATTCGCCTTTGTTGTGATGTTGTTTATGTGTTTGTTCCATGTTAGATCATTTGATATTGTAATGCCAAGGTATTTTGCAGACGGAACTGTTTCTAATGTGGTGTGATGTAGAAGGTATTGTGTTGGAATGACTGTTTTTCGTTTTGTGATTTGGATAACCTGGCATTTTGATGGATTAAATTGCATGTCCAATTTTGTCTCCCATTGTTCAAGTTGGTTTAAGTTACTAGTATGTTGCAGCAAGCTAGAATGAGAAGCGGCAGTCAGAGATAGATAGATGGCCGTGTCATCAGCAAATAGGTGGACTTTAGATGATTGGACATATTCAGGAAGGTCATTAATGTGTATAAGAAATAAAAGAGGTCCGAGGATCGAGTCCTGGGGAACACCGGAGGAGACTGGTATGGAGCTGGATGTGGAGCCATTTACCACCACGGACTGTGACCTGTTATCAAGAAAACCTTTGATCCATTTAAGAGTTTAACCACCTTATACCGTAGAAATGCAGCTTATACAGAAGTTTTTCATGGTTGACCATATCAAAGGCCTTAGAGAAGTCAAGAAGGATTAAGTCTACTTGGCTTCTCTTATTAACTGACTGTAGGATATCATCTATAAGCATTAATGTTTGGGATTGACATGACCTTTTTTCTCGGAAACCATGCTGCTATTCATAGAAAAAGTTTGGTCTAGTAAAGTGCTTGTTATATTGGAGGAGACAATATGTTCCAGGGTTTTACACAAGATACAGGTAAGAGAGATAGGGCGATAGTTGGCTGGGTCTGACTTGCTACCTTTTTTAAAGACAGGGGCGACATTTGCCATTTTCCAGATGTCTGGTAGAGTGCTGGACTGCAGTGATTTCTGGAAGAGTTTGGACACTATAGGGGCTAATTCTTTACTGGTATTTTTGAGCACAATGGGTCTAATTTGATCAGGTCCTGCAGCCTTATGGGGGTTGAGGTTTTGTAAAAGCTTCTCAACACCATTTACAGAGATATCAATATCACGCATGGGGTTATGGGGGCTAAATGATATGTGGGGAACCTCTCTACCTGTATCTGCCTGATCCTGTACCTTCATATCAGCCAGGTATTTAAGAGAAGCAGGGGATTTAGGAGTGAAAACTGATTGGACTTGGTCATTTAGTACTGTTGCCTTGTCTTGATCTGATGTATACAGTTTTTTGTGTTTTTTCAGTGAGTTAATGTCCTTGAGTGTTTTAATAGTGAATATAGCTTTTTGGTGTTTGGTCTGGTTTGTGTTTGTTCATGTTCTTGAGAGATGTTGTTGTTAATGTTTAGTATATCTTCTAAGTAATTTTGATAGGCTTACTTAGTTTCTTCTCTGCAGAGATGTTTAATGCTGAGATATTTTTCTCTAGATTTATTTGAGCTATGGCCATTGTACTGTTTGTAGGCTTTGTCCCTTTTCCTATATATACGTTTGAGGTTGATCTTGATCCAGGGTAGTTTATTTTTTTAGGATGACCATTTTGATGGGATGAAAGTATTGACCCCTTCCTCAATTGAGCTGGAGATTGTTTGCCATAACTCTTCCACTGATTTGTTGGAATAACTTTTTGACCTGGTAAGAGAATCATGAAGGTTGGACATATGTAACCTAAGACCGTCCCAGTCTGCCTTGTTATATAAGTGAATTTTACGTGGTTTTTGGAGCTTTATACGGGCGGAGGTATTTGTGTCGATCACGACAGCATTGTGATCATTGATACCTGGGATTACGTTGGCTCTGTTTACAATGGAGGGGTTATTTGTCAGGAACAGATCTAATATATGGTTTTATCGGGTTTGGTCTTTGACTAGTTTGATAAGGTTATTATCAAAAAGGATGTTAATAAAATCTCTAATATGTGACTGAAGTTTGCAGTCTGGGGTTGGAGTAATATTTGACCAATCAAGTTTTGGCATGTTGAAGTCCCCGCCTACCCATACTGTTGCATTTGACTTGGTAGCCATGGATAGAGATTTATTGAACTCATCCAGGCTATAGGGGTCATTTTCTTTTTGTTTGTAGTAAGAACCTACAAGCAGTGGTTTGGAACCTTGTATTTCTATTTTCACCCATATATTTTCACAATCAGTTTGGAGGTTGATAGCTTCTTGTGCTATAATGCAGTTTTTAACAGCAATAAATACTCCTCCCCAGCCTACTTCTTCCTATCTCGGCTGTAGGAGGTGTAACATAAGTCTGGGTGGAAAATTTCATTATCAAAATGTTTAGGTTTTAACCAAGACTCGTCCCAATTATGATATCTGGGTTTGTTGATGTTACCATATTTTCATAATCTAATTTTGTCCACAATAGATCTGCAGTTTACAATCAGGACTTTTAAGGAACGTTTAATATTGTTTTTGTGCTATGTTTTGCTTTCTTGTTATTACTTTTACTTTTCGGCGTAGATGTAGAGACTGTGTGCTCGCCGTTTTCGAAGTTTGACTCGATTGTACTAGAAGTGTTGGTTACCGAATTTGTTTGGTGTGTGGAATGAGTCGAGGCTGCAGAGACTTGATGTTGTTATATTCATGTTGTCACATGCAATGCACTTCCAGACCCCAACTCGAGAATCTTTTCCCAGTCTGTCATACATACTGTCAGATATGTTCTGGCAGTCTGCATGGTACCATATGAAGCAGAAGTCACACTCCACGCCCTTACATGACCATGTTACTGGCTGCTCACAATTACCACATGGAAATACAGTAGAGGTATTACCTACTACTTCTGGTATTAGGGTAGGTCCAGGGCAAGGGTTTGGTTCGACTTTATAGATTGTAAAAATAAGAGGACACTGAGGAATAATGCCGACTTGAAGCTACATTTATGTAAGTTTTTGAATCTACATGTAATTATTATAGAGTTATTGGTGCCTTTGTAAAATTCGAAGGACAAACAATTAAATAGTTGGAAGATTGAATACTTATTTATAAACAAGCAACAAGGTACAGTTATGCGAATTTATGAAAGCGAGATATTGGGTGAAATATTGA